GATAGGTGATGGGGCTCGCCTAGAGAAATACACGGGAAGAACAAGCAAACGTAGTCGCAGGCAACGATACAAGAGATAGCGCACTGCATGTTGAAGATTGCTTTTGTGAGGTGACCTACTAGATGATGGAATGATGCTTTGTCTTGATGACCAGGGTGTTACTGCGTATGATGAATGGTATCGACTCTGGTAGGCCTCATTCACGTTCGCTTCAGGACAATGGATATGTCAAAGTGAAAAGATTCGGGTAGGATTCTTCTGCGACCTCGGTCCGAAAGATGTGTCTCGGCCGGAGGATGGTAGGGATGAGTTACGGGGTGCAAAACCATGACAATTCAGGATACGAGCAGTCGGTTAAAGGGGTGGAGGCAGGACATGCGGCAACAATGGTCCAAGGCTAGGAGTAGATAGAGTGTGCGGACGTGAGACAGAGGGCGCGTGGTGATGGCGGGCGGTTTCGAGACCGTTTGAGAGGCGGGACGTTTGCATGTGGACAGTTTTTGCAAGAGATTCCCCCACACGAAAGGGGAAAGAAGGGTCAATGGGTTGGTTGTGTTGTTGATGCAGACACGTCGTCGACGACCTGTTCATCGCATGTAAAGACCGGCATCCTCTTCCCCTCATTATTTCCTTTGACAGGCCCCGTCGAGTACGCATCATCGTTGTTGGCTTGGGCGTCTCGGATTAGGCTGCATCTGGCATTGATTCATCCGAGATTTCGACTCTGGACCGCAGCCACGACCGCCCGCCTTTTGTGCACGAGCCCGCAGGTCACACTGTTGCTCTCTGTTGTTGGCCCTTTGCTGCTCTGTCGACGTGCACCCGCGGTAAAGGACTGTACCATCGTCAAGTCGTCGACTCTCTGCCAATCTCCCGGTCGAGTTGTTGGGGTGGCGGCTCGAGCATGAGTTCGCCGGTATGCAACAATCATGGCAAGTGTGTCGGATGAAAACTCTCGGATGCGCCATCTGACCGCGCCAAAGGCTTCCAACCATCGCCCAAACAACATGACGAAGAGCTGCGTATCCTGTCGCGCATCCAGAGCACAGGTAGTCTCTTGTCTCTACCCGCTCGCGGCTCCATATCCGCCGAGGCCCAGCGTCCGAGAATGTCTTTTGACGCAGCTGCCCTCGAGGCCGCTGACCTGCGCAGCATGACCGGGTCAGACTCTGCCCACCCACATGGCAAGCATGCACGCGCTGACCGTGAANCAAGGTCTCCCACCCTTCCCGAACGTGAAAGCGGTCTGCGTCGCATCAGACAGGCCCATCATCGCCAACCCACCTCGCCCCAGCTCCAACAAACCTCGCGTTCACCCTCGCTCAACATCAACATACCCTCCCAGCCCGTGTCCGCTTCCCTGCCCTCGGGCCCTTCGTCGCCTGTCCTGCCCTTTGGCGAGGACCTCAGTCGCTTCCCATCCGAGTCCTTGCATTCCTTCTCCTTCGCACACCAGTCCGAGACCTCGATACACGACCGCCAGATGATTTTGAAACGGTCGGTGGATTTTATGAAGGACAGACCGGGGTGGGGCTCTGCCAATCCTGCAATTCTGAACGCACAAGCAAAAATCGCTGGAGATCAGGAAGCACAGAGCATGATGGAACTGCTCCAGCGCGCAAACCTCTTGGGCGACGGCAACACCTTGCAAGCCCCGGGCTTGGGTATCATCGGTGCTCCGCTCAGCGGTCCAGCCGACCCTTCGGCAGGGAACCTCTTCGAGAAGAGCTTTGCGCCGCTCAGCGAGAGCCCCAAGGACTTTGATGACGAATTGATCATGTCGCCCACCTCTCCCAAATCCATCAAGTCGTCCGAAGAGAAAGAACTACTGCAGCCCGAACCCAAGCGCATCTCGCTCAAACGCACCTACACTGACACAAGCGGCCTGAGCCTGCAGCATCGTCTTGCAGACGCGCTGGCCACGCCCTACCACGCTGCTGATGTGCCGCGCCGTGCAGAGGCTCTTACTCCCAGCCACGTCCCTTCAGCCTTGCACACGTCAAAGTCGACCACCTCACTTGCTGGATCTGCTTCCCACGGCCACGGTCATGGCCACGGCAGGCAATCTGCCGCTGCCCAGGCCATCTTCACCACCGATGCACGCGCTCCTTGGACTATCACCGCTGCAAACGATCTGGCCTGTCTTGTATTTGGTGTTACCCGTGCTGAAGTGCGCAAGATGGGCATCATGGAAGTCATCCGCCCCGAGCGACGCAAATGGCTCGAAAACAAATTAAGACAACCCGACTCGGATCTGTACACCCAAAACAAGTCTCCTAACCATAGTCCGTCATCTTCAGCTTTGGCAAAAGGCAGCGGCGTAACGGCCAAACTCTTAAGCAAACCTCCTGCCCGCCAAACTTACCAAAGCAGGCGCTCAAAGACTGTGAACGGCATCGATTCGGAATCAACGACGCGCCGTGCTGTCTCCAACCCTTCGCAAAAATCACGTGGTGTGCTACTATGTGGTGATGTCGTCCCTATTCAGAAGCGCAACGGTGACATCGGATCTGCCAGTCTGTGGGTCAAGGAGAAACAGGGCGGCTTGATTTGGGTGCTCGAGGAGATTGCCGAGGATGTTGCTTACATCACAGTCGACGAAATTGGCTGCATCGAAAAAGGCGTTGGTGCCTTGGATTCCATCTGGGGTATCGAGAGAGTGCGTAGGGGCACAGATATTAGGAAACTGGTTCCCGAACTACCAAAGCTGGCCGGTACGAACACTGGCATGCTGGATTTCGATCAGATCGCATCGCTGCGCCGTTACACTGCTCGCACAGCAAACAGCATCAGCGTCCCCATCACAGTCGATCAACTTTCTGGCCAACCGACCTTGCGCATTTCCAGCTTCCCTCATATTGCTGGTATCCTTGTGCTGAATCCGGACACGCTCAAGATCGCCAGCTCAAACAACGTCTTTTCTGCTTCTCTCTTCGGCCATGATGCCCCTGACGGCCTTCCGATTACTGACCTGATACCTTATTTCGACAGCATACTGCATTTGTTGACCGACGAAGACAAGATTCGCTTGGTTGACGGCCTTGTCATTCCAGAGCACAGTTTCAGAAAAGCCCGCGCTCTGCTTGCCCTTCGTGAAGGCCGTGCAGATGCCGCGTCCATATTCCTCAAGCCCAGCGGCTTGCCTGCGAAACACAGAGATGGCTCAGATATCATGATTGATGTCCAGATGCGCGTCGTTAAGAGCGATCGTCATAGTTTCGATAGCATTCCGGAGCACCATCGTTTAGACTTGGACTCGTTGCCTGCGTCCGAGGTCGTTTACGCTTTATGGATCACATACTCGAGACAACTACATGCAGTCAACCACGGTGTCGGTCCTGTTATTCCGGTGGTATCCAGACCAGTCACTCCTCCACAGCAGCCGGTTCCTATATCATCGAGTTCGAGTGGGGATCAGGACAGCGAAGACTCCAGCAGCGATAAAAGCAGTGTGACCAAGACAAAGGTTGACACTCCTTCACTCATCACGCAGCAGCTACAACATTCACCAATCCAATCACATTCCTCAGGAACGCAATTGCTTACGAGCGAACCTTTTGAACATCCATCCCCTGCTGCTGTTGAGGCCGGTGCGACCACCATAAAGAAGAAGAGCATCGCTGATTTCCTTATCCTCGAAGAAATGGGCCAAGGAGCATACGGCCAGGTCAAGCTTGCGAGATACAAGAAAGCAAATGCGCAGAAAATGTGCATCAAATACGTTACCAAACGACGTATTTTGGTAGACACATGGACCAGAGACCGCCGTCTCGGTACGGTACCATTGGAGATTCACGTTCTGGATTATCTACGACGAGACGATTTGCAGCACCCGAACATTGTTGAGATGGCCGACTTCTTCGAAGACGACATCAACTACTACATTGAGATGATTCCGCATGGTCTGCCGGGTATGGACTTGTTTGACTACATCGAGCTTCGTGTGAACATGGAGGAAAAGGAGTGCCGAAAGATCTTTGTCCAGGTCGCCAATGCTTTGCACCACTTGCACATCAAAGCCAAGGTCGTGCATCGAGACATCAAGGACGAAAACGTCATTCTCGATGGAGATGGTGCGGTCAAGCTTGTCGACTTCGGTAGTGCAGCATACATCAAGTCAGGTCCCTTTGATGTGTTTGTCGGCACTATCGACTACGCGGCACCCGAAGTCCTGCGTGGCAGCCCTTACCGAGGCAAAGAGCAAGATGTATGGGCACTCGGTATCCTGTTATACACAATCGTGTACAAGGAGAATCCCTTCTATAGCATCGACGAGATCATGGACCACGATCTACGAGTGCCGTACATCATGAGCGAAGACTGCATCGATCTCATCCGCAAAATGCTGGACCGCGACGTGGAGAGACGCATCGGCATCCAAGCCGTTCTCGACCACCCATGGTGCACATACGTCGACCCCGAAGACGATTAAGCGACAAGCGACATCCGTGTTGCCCCCATTTTCTTTTGCTCTGGTTTTCATTCTTTTTTGTTGTTTTATTGATATTTCCCATGATTCCCTTATTGCTTTCTCTTTTCTTAGGTTTGGAAGTATTGGTTTTTTTTTTCGAGACCATCGCTTGCAAATACGAAATACTTGACATTGAACGACGGACAGAATGACGAAAGCAAACGCAGTGAGAGGAGGGTTAGGAGGAGGGGAGGATGGACGGAACGTGATACAGTGGAGGAAAGCACACAAGAAGACATATAAAATGCCGGACACAAAGCAATGCATAGGAGGAAAGGCTGGTTGTCCTCCAATCCTTATTTGGTATCCTTTTTCTTGATACACCATCATCTTATTGACTTTTCTCTCTGTCTCTGAGCCGTGAAATGGTGTCGAGTGTGTCATTGCTGCTTGATGCTTCTTTCCTCTAGTGCTCGACTAGTCGATCTCGACTCGGTTTTTTCACTTGGTGTTGATGCTCGAAACCCCTTTCCCAAACAGTGCCCTGTTTGAAGTTTTTCCCAGCAGATCTGTGTCTGACGACACTGTTTCAACCGCTCTTTGCGCCATCAGTAGCCATATCTGCATTGTCTTCCTCATCGGCGACTTCGCCTTCGGGTTCGGCCTTCCACCCGCCGACCTCTGCGATTTTCTCGGGGATGATGCGCTTGACGGGTTTCTCTGAGGTGGTCGCGGTCTTCATGGCGTCATCTTGGGTTGCGAGGTGAGAGATGGGTGGGTTGGAGATGTTTTCTGTGTTTTGATGTGTCAGTGTGATTGTGGTGGAAGAGATGTGTTGGATGGGTTTATGTACCGTGGGTGCTGGTTGATGCTTCCATGGTGTTCGAGGTCATGGTTGTGATTGACGATGTGATGTGGTGTAAGAAGTTGAATGTCGGAGCGAAGACGAGGAAGCAAGGTCGAGATCGGACCTTCAAGTGAAGAAGTGGTGTAGTAGCTGAGTTGATCTGGAAGTGAGAGAGTGGATGGTGGTGAAACTGGACGGAGGGTTTGTTTGGTGACTATTTGCTTCTGATTTTGTTCGCGATAAGTTCCTTCAATACCAATGCTTGCTTCTTTCACCATGTCTAGCTCATCACTTCTTTGAGCGTGTTATGCTATTTTTGATCTTGCAGATCCAGTCTTCTCTTTTGCTCCATTCCATCGTGCATTGAGGGCCATGTCTGCAGCTTCTGATGACTGTGTCAACGTTGCTTTGAGCCAAAATCTATTCTACTCTTGACTTTGAGTGACGGACCATCAAGCATTCTCTTGTTTTGACATGCAGCATTTTGTGGCTTGGCACGCTTCTTCAATGCAGAACCAGAAGGACTACTCATTCTATGCTGACGTCGGCTTCTGGTCCGCCTGATTCTTCTTGCCGTCTTGTTGATTCCTTGGTTTGTTGACCTTCTTTGGCTTGATCCATGAGTCTGGGGCTTCCTTCAAGACAACACCATTCTCCACCAGGACCCCTTGTCCACCAGTGCGATCTTCGGCTCTGCTGAAGAATTGCAGACCAATCACACCCTTGTCGTCTCCTTCGCTCAGAATGACACCATTCTCAGACTTCCAAAATTTGATTCCGGCTTCTATGGCCTTTTTGATATCCACATAGACCAGTACTGAGGACGAGTTGCGCATGCCAGAGATGACGGGCGCGTTGCTTGAATCCTTGTCCTCGGATTTGAAGCCGGCGGGGAGACCAGAGGCAAAATGAACGTGAGTGCGCGCCATCTTTTTGAGACCGCCAGTGGCCACAATCTGGGGCCATGCAGAATGAGTAGTTCCGTGCACCACTATGGAAGGAAGATTCTCCTCTGTGATGGGAGCGAGGAGATTCTCAGATGCAATTTCCAAGGAATGTCCTTGATTCGCACGGATAAGGTAGTCGGCAGGATCATCAGACTCTGGGTGTTGACTGGGAATGTCTGAAGCTAAGGATGTTGCTGCATCATCGGCTGGAACACTTGCTGCCGAAGGAGCAGCGGATTTGTGAATTAGAGAGAAGCGCTGTTTGTCATTCTCTGCGACGATTTGTTTGACCTCGTCAAGTGTGGCTTTGAGACCGCGAATCCTTTGGTTGTTCAACNNTGTCCAGCGTCAGAGTCAGAATGTGGGAACAGATGCAAGCAGGTGAGAACGATAGCAGCTCGGTTGAACGAGCGAGCATGTAGTAGATTTGAGAAACCAGAGACAGATATCATGGAGGCGACCTACCACGTCTTTGAGGTTGATATAACCTGCTGCATCTAATTGGAGACCTTCCTTTTCAGCACTGTGACGAAGCAGTTTGCTCAGTGCCTTTGAGACTTGGACTTCTCGAGGCATGGGGCCACCGCGACCACGTCCACCAGGCATCTTGATCAGTCTGCGAAGAATGACTTGTTGGTATCAATGATTGTTCCAAGGGCGTTGGTGAAGTAAACGTTGTGTGTATTCAGTTCAGAATGCCTGAGAGTGACTGATGTTCGAAAATTGGCAACCAAAAGTTAGCTGAGATTCGGAACGTCGCATGAAAGCAACGCGTTGGGAATTTGTTTGGAAGCGAACTGTTCAGCGTTAGAGGCCGCTACTTCTGGAGAGGAGATGAGAGAGTAAGTGCACTTGGTATGTGGCTTCGATAATTCATCTAATCTTAGACAAGTCCTTCGTCCGAGGAGTCGTCTACCAACCTTGGAAAAAAAGATAGGCAATCCAAATTCATCAATGATCCCATCTCAGAGGACCGTATACTCGAGCTTCGACAGCACTCGGACGGAAGCCGGAAAGGCTTTGCTCCGGCATCCGCGCGGGCAGGTCTAGAGCCTAGACACGACTCGCGGCTCTCGATTCCACAAAGCTCCGACAGATCAATGACCAGCAATCCGGTCTGAGAGATGGAGGAAGCATGTGAAGAAGCGCGTGGAAGCCCGGGAGATTTGAACCTTTCGCTTCAATTACCCAAGCGGACCCAAGTCACCCCGATTGTGTTTTTGGGATAATGGCTTGATAGCTCGTATCGAATCGTATATGTGGAAGTAGGCGTGTCCAAAGTCCGATGGCCGTCAATGACCTAGGCAGGCAGTCAAGTAAGCAAAAAGTAAACGGGCGCAGCACCAGTCCATCAAAGACACTTCGCGCCTCATCATTCATCGAATGCGCGTATCCCATCAACCGCGCGCCATCTCCTTGTCCCGGCGCTCAAAGGTGCGCCATATCGCGCCCGTCTCGAATGCGCCATGAACCCTCCAAACCCCCACCAACCGCAATTTTCATCGCTCCCATATGGTGCCACTCCGCCGGGCACCCACGCCCATAACGCTTCGCTGCGTGCCTTCAGTAATTCATACTCGACGTCCAACTCACCCACCAACGCGACCTTCCAGCAAGCTGCCGCCTATCTAGAAGGCAATTACGATGACGACGGAGACGATCGCGCAAACGACCACGACCATGACCATGACCATGATCATGACCACGACCAGGGCCAGGGTGATCCCAAACGGCGCCGTATAGCACGCGCCTGCGACATGTGCCGAAAGAAGAAGATCAAATGCGATGGCAAGATGCCCAAATGCTCACACTGTCAAAACTACAAGACCGAGTGCATCTTCACTCAGGTCGAGAAGAAGCGTCAACCTCCGAAAGGCGCAAAGTACATCGAGGGCTTGGAGAACAGACTTGCGCGTATGGAGGGCTTGCTCAAGATGTCAGGCCTGCTAGGAGAAGACGATGGCGGCAAGACCGATCTCGGCACGCTGGAGAAGCGGTTGGCAGATAGACAGGCTGCCGGCTCGTCATTCGCATCGCCAGCCTCACCGCACATCGCTGGTGACGGTTCAACCTCTGCTCACCCAACCCCACCCACTGGACTTACCAGTCCTCAGTCTGGTGCGCCGCTGCAAGATGGCCTAGCGCGGTCTCAAGACAAGGCCGCGGAGGGTCTGGCAGACCAGATGTGCTCACTAGTCACGAATAATGCTGGAGAAACGCGATACATCGGGTCATCGTCTGGCTTTTCTATCTTCTCACCAAAAGGGATCCAATGGGTTAATGAGAAGACCGGAGACTCCTCTTTCCGTGACATGATATCCCAGGCAGCTAGTGATGACAGAGCGTGGGCTGCCTGGAAGCCCGAAATCTTTGACGATATCTTCTCGCGCAAAATCTACAAGCCTCTACCGCCCAAACCCGAAGCTCTCGCCTTACTGAAGGACTTCTTCGAAAACTTCAACTGTGTGTTTCCATTGTTTCATGAACCAACCTTTATGCACCTGGTCGATAAACACTACTCGCTCGACCCGTACGAAGGCTCTGGATGGTGGGCCAGCTTGAACGTTGCGCTCGCGATTTCTCACAGGCTTCGTATCATAGGTGAAGACGACGCCCGCATTGAAGACACGAAAGCTTGGGGCTACCTGAAAAATGCCCTGGCTGTCTTCTCAGAGCTGACCATGCGCAACAATGACCTGCTCAGCGTGCAGGCTCTACTAGGCATGGCACTCTTTATGCAAGGTACACCCAATCCACAGCCAGGCTTCTTCCTTGTAGCCGCAGCGCTTCGCCTAGCACACAGTATCGGTCTGCACAAACGAGGATCTGATTTTAATCTCAATGAGATTGAATCCGAACAAAGGAAACGTGTGTTTTGGATTGGTTATCTGATGGACAAGGACATTTGTCTTCGTTCAGGAAGACCTCCTATTCAAGATGACGATGACATGAACGTCGAGCTTCCAAGCGAAAATCCATCAGACAACATTGGTGTTGTACCAATAGAGAGCGGCAAAGGTAAGGTCAATCTATTCCGGATACAATGTGTTTTCGCCATGATCCAGTCAAAGGTCTACAAATTACTTTACTCGGTCAAAGCCGCTCGTCAAACAGATGGCGAACTATTGAACACTATTGGAGACCTCGACCAGGAACTAGAAGAGTGGAAAGATTCCATTCCTCTCGAATTCCGCCCTGAACATGAGATCAAAATGGTCAGCCAGTCGCCACTCATGCTGCATATTGTCGTTATGCACTTTGCCTACTACAACTGTCTAACAACCATTCATCGAATGTCGGTTCATCATGGGTACTGGACATCACGGCTTTCTAATTATGCCATTGCTGGTCTGAACGCGCGCCCACTCAATCCACGCGTGTTCATGTCAGCAGCCTTGTGTGTAAATGCTGCACGAACATCCATCTCGCTCGTCAAATTTATTCCTAGTCAGGACCATGCTTGCGTGTGGTAAGTCACCGCCCATACGAATATCATCAACACATAGTTTCGTGCTGACATGGTTACTAGGCTTTTGTTATATTATCCCGTGTCTGCGCTCGTCACCCTGTTTGCCAACATTTTGCAAAACCCGCAGGATGCTAGAGCTCGATCTGACCTCAAGCTTATGAACTCCATGACCGAATTCCTGCAAATGTTGTGCGAGGAAGACGGTAACATTCATTGTCGAAGGATGGCGTCAATCTGCAAAGAGTTTGAACGTATCGCTAGGGTAGTCCTTGACAAGGCTGAGAGGGACATGAAAGGCCGAGGCAAGAGAAAGAATCGAGAAAGTGACTCGACCGCCCAGCCCAATTTACCCTCGCAGTCTGAGCGTCGCTCGACATCTCAGCCGGCGCAAGCTCAGCATACACCAAGCTTGCCTACTTCGACGCTACCAAACGGACGAACAACAACGGCATCTCCATCTGTCCGTCTGAACGGGCAAACGCAACATCAAGTCTTTCACCCTCCACGTATGGGACAAATACCTTTTACAGCACCATCAAACGCATCCCCCTACCAAGCAACGAGCAGTATGGCACCAGAGCCCTGGATGCAGACCGTCCCACCTGCACCAGAAACTCTGTTCTCTCAGCCCGACGGCCGGTTTCCACAAACAACGTTTCCGCCAGAGAACAACTTTGACATGCAAGGCTATAGCCTGGGACCCATGGCTGGAGACTTAGGTGGCAGTTTCCAGCAGCCGTTTGTGCCACAGGACCTTTGGCAGATGCCCATGACGCTGGAATGGGACTGGGCTGATTTCTTTGGCACGGGGCCGGGGTTTGACCTCAACAACCCTACTGGAGGTGGGCCTCAGTAATTAATCTGGAAAGGAGTCTTTTGTGGCATATTCATGTATGATTATTCGTGCTCGGCTGGCATATTGATAGATTTATTCGAGCTGCTATGGAATCTTGAGGGAACTCAACTCATTACTCGGGATTCGTGTGTACTAAGACTACAATGCTCGTCACTACAGACCATTCTATTGTCAGATTTGGTCAATCTTTATGAGACCCCTCGACTTCTGTCCAGTTTCTTAGATACGTCGTCAAGTATCCGGGTTGTAGACAAAGCATATTCCAAGCCCAGACGTCTAGAATTCGAGATATGCCAGGAACAGCGGACTCCGATTTGCCCATAATTGGCAGTAACATCTTGTTTGTGGTGTAGGTTCCTGCCTGCATCTCGATTTGCATGTGACAGCGAGTGGGGAAGCTTGCTTGTTTTGGAGCAAGCAAGGCAGTGACGCGCTCGCTTTTGGATCACTCAAATACTGGTCCTCAGCTCTGCTGCATCTTTCGTACAATCGACAATCCCATCAAAGAACAAACATCAACATGAACTCGATCCCCGTCTCGGCCACCAGGCCCACAACCGGCATTCGCGTTGCCCAGGTCGTCGGCCTCACTGCTTCCGCTTTTCTTGCTGGTAAGTCAAATTGACGGTTATCTGACAATGGCTTGTTGACCATGTCACCCAGGTTCCATGGCANNAGCATCAGCTGGATGAGCGTGCCAGCACTTATGGATGCACCCGCTCCCCTGCTGGCCAAACAGTGGAAGAAGATCTTCGACCAGGGCAAAACGACAGCTCCCCCAATGGCTGTCCTTTCCTCTGCCATCTTTGGCTACCTTGCCTACAGAGGTATGTTCACGTGCATCGTTGGCAGAGACTACTATATTAACTGTTTGCGGNAACCCACTGCATCTTCCAGCTTCAACCTCTACACAGCTGCAGCCATTCTGGTTCCCAGCATCGTGCCTTACACCGTCTTCCTCATGTCTAGCGTCAACAACAAGCTCCACGAGAAGGCTTCATCACTGGCCAATGCCTCTCTGACTGACACGGCCGTCGAGTCAGGCGCAGCTCAGGGCGAGACGGCTCACGAGCTTCTCGACAAATGGGCCACTCTCAACTTGGGTCGTTCGCTACTTCCTCTGGTTGGAGCTCTGGCGGCCGGATGGGCAATTGTCGACAAGTTCGAGGTGCTCGGTCTCGGCGCAGTCCTCAAGACTGGTGCCGACCGTATGGGATAAGGAGGAACAGCCGGAGGGAGCGGTGATGGGCGCATGACCTATTAAAGAGACACTGAGAGCATGTGAGATACTTGAGTGCATCGGTTATCAAGATAAAGATGACATGAATTTGAGATAAGCATAACGATAGCCAACGAACAAGCCAGGTCGAGTTTTTTGCTTTGTCTTTTGTGGGCCATGAGTAGTAGCAGTCGCGTGCCATGTTGGAACTGGACTTCTCAGCACTTCGTCTCAAATGTGACTGTTGACCTGCGATGGGCGTCGCAGGTTGGACGGACACTGCTTCTGAGGTAACAAGCGGAGTCTGAAGGAAGTCGTTGAACCCAAGCCAAAAGTCAAGTCCAAGACGGCAAGGCTGTCAGGCTTCTTCAGCTGATGTGGGGACCGCGGCCCGGGAGTGGGCTCTCCGAGGCGGCTCATTCTTTCGCGGCTTCCTCAAGAAGATATTTCCAATCTGCCTCCTCTGCTCTTAGCCGAGTAAGGTAGTTATGAATGGATCTCGCTGCTCGCACGCTCGAAAGATGCTTGGCTACGATATCCAGCATGATTAGGCTGACCAAAAGCGTCCTATCACGCAACGGACAGACATGGCGGCGCTCGACGCGGGCTTAGACACAGCCCCGCCGAGACGTTATCCCCCGCTTCCAGAATGGGGCGATAGCAGGGTCCGGCCTTGGCCAAAAATCGCTCGGACAAGAGCTCAACACGACGACGGACGGACAAATTGAGTACGTACCCTGGCCTTTTGGTTCTTCTGACCTCTTGATCTCTTGACCTTTGTGCTTCCATCTTTTGTTGTCATCTGCATGCCTCCGTCCACTCGTTGACCGTCCGCTATCTGTCTGTCAGTCGCGTGCACATCCCCGCCTTTACAGTACACTGGGTACTCCGCCTTTTTGTAGCCCGCAGATAACGACCCTTATTTCCATCCACCTTTTTCTCGACAACAACCTCTCTGGAAGAGCGTTGATCCTCGGCCTCTCGAAGCCCACCTGGTTACTCTGCTCTAGACACGATGGCTCAAGCGTCCGTGGAATCTGTGGTCCTGGAGACCACAGCTGCTGAACCACCAGTCTCCGTTTCCCCGGCTGTGCCGATTCAGATAGAAAAAGTCAAGGGCAAGAAGAGGTTTATACAGAGTCTACAACGCATGTCTTCTTCTCCTTCTCTGGCCAAACTTGGCAGAACGCCCTCTTCGAATTATCGAACAGGAGGTAGAGCCTCGGCTTCCTGCATATCGCTCTCGTCCGGATCCGCTTCGTATGCCTCGTACGGAAACTCGCTGGCTTCCGAACTCTCTATCGGATACTCGACAGCTCCAACTTCAGCCGCAACCACGCCAGGAATTCCGTTTCCTTCGTTTGACGAGAAGATAGCACGTTCTCGATACCTCGGTTCTGTGCCTGTGCCAGATTTCAGAACCACCACGAGAATTGTTGAAGAAGAGGATTACTTCTCTATACCCGTACAAAAGGCCGCACAAAGGTCCAAATCTTCCTTCAACTTCTGGAAGGACTTGCCGTCCGAGCTGGCCATGGATATCCTTTCCTATCTCGATCCTCGCGAGGTTGTAAGGTGCTCAGCTGTTTCGAAACAGTGGCACAGCAGATGTTTCGATGGCCAGCTCTGGTCAATTCTCGATACTTCCGACTTCTATCGTGATATCCCTGCCAATGCGCTGATCAATATCGTCACTTCTGCTGGTCCATTCGTTCGCGACCTCAACCTAAGAGGTTGCGTTCAACTCAGAGAACAATGGTACGAGAAAGGTCTATCCGGAGCTTGCAGTAATCTTGAGAACTTCTCTCTGGAAGGCTGCCGTATTGAGAAGACCGCCATCCATTGCTTCTTATCACAAAATCAGAAGCTTGTCGACATTAACCTTTCCGGTCTTGCTGGTGCTACAAATTCGGCCATGAAAGTCATTGCTGAAAACTGTCCCAAGCTCGAACGTCTCAATGTTTCTTGGTGCAACAATGTCGACACTCGAGGGCTGAGAAAAGTAGTTGAGGCCTGTCCTAACCTGCGCGACCTTCGTGCTGGTGAAGTGCATGGCTGGGATGATGTCGACTTTATGCAGATCCTCTTCGAACGCAACTCACTTGAACGACTCATCTTGATGAACTGCGATTCTCTAAACGATGAATCGTTAGCTGTCTTGATGGAGGGACAGGACAGTGAGATGGACTACCTGACCGGCCGACGCATTGCTCCAGCTCGCAAACTCAAGCATCTTGACCTTACGCGGTGCCGTGGTATCGGCTTCAGGGGTCTCGAGAAGTGTGTCGATAGACTTCCAGAAATGGCAGGCTTGCAACTTAACAAGTGCCATGGCATCACTGACGATGTCCTCACATCTATGTTGAACGGCATGCCCAAACTTACACATCTTGATCTGGAGGAGCTTACAGAGTTGTCCAACGCCGTACTGCAATCACTGGCCGTTGCTCCTTGCGCAAAGGGGTTGCGACACATCACCATCTCATACTGTGAGAACTTGGGTGACGCGGGAATGCTTCCCATCCTCAAGAACTGCACCAATCTGGAAAGTCTTGATATGGACAACACTCGCGTCTCCGACTTGTCCCTTGCCGAAGCAGCAGCCATGGTGCGTGCCCGTACAGCCCGTACCACTCAACCCAAGCAAAAGCCTGCGGTAGGTCTACGCCTCGCAGCCTATGACTGCCAAAACGTAACATGGACCGGTATCCGCGAGGTACTGTCACGAAACGCAGAAGTAATCCGCAAGACCGTAAAGCCCGAACAATCATCAAACCCAAACGATACCACCGCAGCATCCGCATCTCCTCAACCTCAAACCGTCCGCACCTACCCCACCAAAATCATCCAGCTCAAATGCTTTTACAACTACCAGCCCACGGTTGAAGAACACACCAAGCGCGTATTGCGGGCCGACTTTTCGGCCGCCACTCGTCTCGAGCGCAAGTGGGCTGAATTCATGATTGCTCAAGAAGAAGCCGGTGCCAGTGGTGCCGGTGCCCGTAGGCGTCGTCGCCGTGCACGTGAGGCTCAAATGATGCATGCAGATGAAGAAGACGGCGGTGCAAATGGTGGTGGTGCCGGTGTGGGTGGAGGTCGCAGACGCAGAGCCAGAAGTGGCGGTTGCACAGTCATGTGAAGTGGGATCTTGCCTCGATGTTTTTCTTTCTGTCGTTTCAAGCGTTTTTTTCTTGTTGTTGTCTTCTCTGTTCGTTTGGGTAGGGCAGCAGGACCATGATTTGGGGGTTGGCCTTTAGCGTTTTTTTTTTTTTGCGGTTTCCATGGCCATATTTGCATTTTTCGAGATCATCATGGCATTTGTTTTTGGTTACATGTTTAGATCATACTTACATTGAGCCTTGCATTCTCTATCAAGTTCAGGCCTTGGCTCATACCTGACATATAGCTCAGTACTCTTCGTTGACGAAGGACCAAAGACGATGGAATTCGGAACATGATTATATTGTACCAAAACCATGATTCAAGCACATACGGCCACAGTCAGCTGAAAACTGGGCATCCCGTCCGCTCTGCCATACATAAGCAGTTGAACGGCAGATTAGTACTACGGTGGGTGACCACGTGGGAATCCCTGCTGCTGTATGTTTTGCATTTTGATCTGATTGAGCGACAAGCAAATAGGAAAGGGTCGACCATCTGGTGTGAAAAAGGCAAGTACATCATGACCTTTAGTGGTTCTTTCTGCTTTTCATCCTTCACACCTTTCCTTTCATGAGTACAAAAGTTTTGCTCAATGACACTTGTGATACGAGACATCAAGGCAGAGGGAGAGTTCGAGTATTGTTCAAGAGTGTCGGACATGAAATTGAATTTCTTTTCCGGCCATGGCTCACATCTCATTGACCACTATACAAACATTACATCAAAAGTATCTTCGTGACAGAGAAAAAAACAGGAAGGACAAAAAAGGGGTATCGGGCTTCCAGAGAGAAAAAGAAGGATAAAGAAGTGAAGTCAAAGTGGAGTGGAGAAAAGAAGAAAGAACCAAAAGGTTTTTGCGATGATGAGAGGGAGAGTCTCGAACTCCATCCCGGCGTCAGACTGAGCTTGACGGAACAAGAAAAAAACACAATTTTGTTTATGCAAAGTGGTGGTTGGTTGGGTGCAATCAGACCTCTTCGGTGAACCTGCTTCCCCTGCTTCCATCGAAGCTTGATAGTGTGGCGGGAGTGACGCTTCTGCGGGCTGGGTTCAACGGAGTCATGAGAGGAGCATTAGGTCCAGGCTCGGGNGTTAACCTGTGTCCCTGGATGGGGAAGGTAGGACTGGTAGGCGATGTGTTTTCGGACAATGCACTTGTCGGACTCATGGCATAGGGAGGGTGAACTCTTGCTTGCCGTGCTGGTCCAGGCATTATGGTTTCGTTGATGCCAATTTCGTTGTCGGGGTCATCGAAAGGTGAGCCAGCTGCGCCGTAGTAAGTGCTGTCGCGATAGACCGAAGTAGTGCTCATGTTACGGTCGTTGTCGAAGGCAGACGGCATGAGCATGGGTGGAGCAGAAGTCATGCCAGCTGAGAAAGCACTAGGCAATTTACGACCGCTAATGCGCTGGAAGCCTCGTTCTCCAGTGTCGTCCACGGCTCGGGATTTTCTATTCTTGAAGACCCCTCCCAGAAGTGGCGCTAATACGGGAGCTGTTCTGCCGCGCTCGGACATACCCCCAGCACCACCACTTCCCGTGACGGCTTCGGCTCCAGTCAATGCATTCATGCTAGCCATGCGCTTTCGATACCAGCGCAGGAAAATCATGGCAGTCAGAACCAAAACTGCAAGTCCGGCGACGCCACCCACAATACCACCTGCAAGCACAGAAGGAGGTGGGGTGTTGTCGCTGTTGTTGTCCGGTGATGCGGTGCTGCTCGCAGGGCTGGGAACAGTAGTTGTTGTAGGCCCACCGATGACGCTAGCATCAGGGCTCTGAGTGGCGCTGGAAGAGGGCAAAGAGTTGTCGGTCGATGACGATGCAAGAGCGGAAGCAAACGAGGCTTCTGAAGAGATGCGAGATGCTGCACTGCTCAGAGCGCTGTTAGCTGACCGTACAGCCGAGGAAGCAGCGCTCTGGAGAACAACTGCCTGAGAAGAGTATGAGCTTCTAGCCGACCCTGTAGCAGTTGATGCGGCGGCGTTGAGAGAACTGAGGCGGAAACTGATATCGGCATTTTCAGACGAGAGAGCAATAGCAGCAGAAGAGATTTCCGAGCTGTCGCTCAAGGCAGCATAGCCCGAGGCAGACGACGACACGGGTTGGAAAGAACCGTAAGACGTGGTGGTTTGACCGTTGGAAAGAGTGGTAGCGAAAGCCTGCGCAACGAGAACAGCAGTAGAAGGAGATCCATCAGATAGTGTTTCGACAGTGGAAGAAGACGCAGTGAAGAAACCCAACACAGCGGCCAGAGGAGTGGAGCTAGTGCTTGCAGATCTATCTGCAGATGAAAGAACACTCGCCGTGTTCGAAATCGAACTAGTCACGCTATTGCGTTGAAAGGTAGTGAATGAGGTGTAAGTTGTCGAAGAACTGGAGATGACGGTTGCAGATGTTGTCAGGTTTCTAGCAAAAGATGGCGATGAACTTGAGTGGACTGCATTTGATCCAGACGGACTGGCACTACCTGAGACGAGGACTGACGACGGGCTTGAGGACTTAATGGTCGAGTTCAGTCCAGCAGGAAATACAGTGCTAATGAGCGGCACGCCAGACGAAGTGTACGATATGACTGAGGCAGTGATGGCGCCACTTGAAATACTCGTGGCAGGGAGAGCATCGCTTGTCGAGCCGAGCGACACAAGAATCGGATCCGCAGTAGTCACCGTCGACTCATTCGCCGTATTCGAACCGACCATAGTGATGGACTCATATGCAGAAGGAGAGGTCAAGTCTGAAGCAGTGGCAGAAACAGGCGCAGCCGTTGTAAGCGAACCAGAGGAACTCAGGGTCGCATTGACATCGCCAACTGTATTCGTAGTCTGCGACAGAACGTCGGTGGAAACAGCCGAAGTCGTGGGCGCGGTTCCAGCCACGCCAGGCAAGGTTATACCAGAAGCAATGCTGGTCGGTATAGCCGAAGCGACGGTGTTGAGTGCGGAATTGTATGAGACAAAGGATGACTCGGACAAGCTCTCGACCTCGGATGCTCCAGAAGAGCTTATCGTGGCAGCGGGTACAACTGCACCTGAAAGAGACAGGCCCAATGATGCTGCAGTCGAGACAGCCGGTGATGTGTTGTCAAAAGACGACGAGGCAGACGAAGTCGGGGTGAAAGTTGATTCAATGATTGATGGTATGCCAGTCGAGTCACTTATGTCTAGGGACGCGGTTGTGGAGAGAGCCAGACTTGCAGTGCCAGGGCCAGTATAGGCAGCCAGAGGAATTGTCGCAGAGGGTGATGTGGTGCTTGAGGATAAGTCGATTGATGAGACGGCCAAGGATATGTCTGTGGTTGTTGAAGGGTCAGCTAGGGATGTATCGGCGGTCGTCGAAGTAGGTGTTGCGTCAGTGACCGGGACGGTCGAAGAAGGATCCGAAGCTGTCGAGGTGGGTGCAGCTTCTGTTGTTGGCAAAATCTCTGTCGTTGACACAGCCGAGGACGAGTCTGAGTCGGTCGATGTGGAGCTGGCGGCTGCAATTGATGGCGAGATACCTGCGAGGGTGGAAGAGTAGGCCGAGAGGGACGACAGTGTTTCCAAGACTGAGGTCGAAGGAGCGTCGGTGGCAGCGTCGGGAGAAGTTGAAGGGAGCGAGGGTTCGGCGTCAGCCAGTAAAGTGGATGTAGACATTGAAGACGTTGTGGATTCGAGCGTGCCGTTGAGCAGCGGCGTTTGACGTTTGTGTAGCCGTTGGTGCAACTCGTCGGCGCGCTGGACAGCACTCCGGCCAGGACTATGGTTCCTTATGTGGACATGGACTTCTTCGATGCGTTTGACAGGGCGGACATCTTGCAAGCCATGTGAGAAGGCAGTCGGACGCGAAGCGGCTACGCTGGCAGCCGACGCGGACAATTTGCGCCGTTTGAAGAGACGTTCCATGCTTGGGGCGGTTATCGATACAAGAGATGAGGGCAGTGAGTGCGCTTGACAGGAATGACAGTGGTAGAGTCCGGTCCAGACTAGACTCTACGAGTTCGAGATGGCTACTATCAAAGAGCCGGATTGGGTGGTTTGCGTTAACTGTGCCTTGGAATCGAAAGCGGACAGGCTCTCGAGATAAGCAGTTGTCGAGCTTGAGAAGTCCGGAGTACTGGGAAACGAATGGACGCCGGTGATCAAACCAGCAGACTGCCTCTGTGGGAGCCATGTCAGTACGAGCTTCAGCGCCGGCGAGCAGGAAACAGTTGAGGGTAGCGTCTTACAATGTGAACTTGATACTTGGCACAGGCTCAAAGTACCATCAGACATGTGCCTGTACGCTTGTCGTTGTATGCAAGCAGGGAAGAGTGGGTTGGGCGCAAGTCGAGTTTTTGATGGTATTGTCTGGCGTCGTCTACAAGTATTTAATTTACTGCCTATGTAACGACGACTAGAGAGACCACTCCGCTGAGCGGGGTCAGTAACCAGCCAGCAGTCAAGTCGTCGAGCTGACAGCAAAGAAGACGGCTGTGTTTGAGAGACGTCCAGGGTGGTGAGGGAGCGTGGCTGGGTGATGAGGCAAGGACGTGGTGAACAGAAAACAACAGCAACGACGTTGACGTCCGACTTGAAAGTCTCCGACGACAGACGGAAAGCAAAGCGAAGAAGCGGCAGAAGCAGAAGAAAGAAGCCTGTGCTTCAAGGTTGCACGACTTGCACCAACTTCGGCCCACGAGACCCTCTGGCTCTCAAACGGTCCCGCCGCCGCCAAACATGGACCACCTCTGCTAACCAACCCAAATCTCCGCTGCCTGGGAATTGGCTTGCGACATGGATCGTTTGCTAGGGTTGCGCAAGCCGGCGAGATTGCTTCATGCTCCATCGTCCAATCCTAGAGTGCATCGACGCTCCATCAGCATGCTCGTCCGCGTCTTTAGATATCATGTCGTCTCCCGCAGCTATTTCGTTTTCTTCGCGGCCTGCCTACGCGTGCTCACGGCTCGATCGTCTGCTCCCATGATCATTCACTATCCCTGCAGGTACTGCCGCAGCGGTCGTGGCTATTTTTCATTCATTTGCTCCACTTGCATATTTTTCTGCCGCCTAGCCAATATGCATGTCCCCGTCTGACGTCGAACCCCGCCAGAAGCGCAACAAAGCCCTGCAGCTGTAAGGGAGCATGTCGTTGTTCTCGTTTCAAGTTTCCACTACTTGACACGTAAGGGACCTTTGCTTATTATGGCATCATCGCGTGTGCACACAATGGCGCCCTCGGAGCGAGGCTATCATCTGCATCAACGTCTGCCACTTTGCTGTGCCGTCAAGCCTGTGCTACATCTCGTGTTTTGACCATTCTAACATGGATCGATTCCATGCGGCTGGGTGTCAATATTGAAAATTGCCGAGCAACTTTAACGCCTATCTATCTGTATCTAATTGCGGAAAATAGTTCCGTTGAACCTGGAAAAAGTGCGCTAGAGATTCAGGCTCCCGCTTTGCCCGACGTCACATCCTCACCGCCCGTAAACACCGAACGGCATCTCCAGACAATACCTCCTGAGAGCCGCATCTATCCTGTGACTACACCAAGAGACTAGGTGCATCTTTGACACCCGAGTCTGCCAAGCTCTAGACCACCCTCACTCGGCATGTCAAAGGAAATCGGCCATCAGAGAACTGGTGGACCTCCACCGTTACCACCTCGGCAGGTGTCTGGCGCGAACCTCCTGAGATCCGAATACTTTGAAGACGACGACTTGCCTCCGCCATCTTACGAATCTGTCGCGGCTGAGTTGTATGAAAACGATCATGTCACACTCTCTCACAACGACCCGAGGTCGAGGTCAACGCAATCATTGCTTCCTTCGCCGTCAGATGAACAAGGTGATAGGAGAAAGTTGCTACTAATTTTCATCCATGGGTTCATGGGAAACGAGACCAGTTTCCAAAGCTTCCCTGCTCACGTACATAGTCTCGTAGCTGCTTTACTGGCAGAAACACATACTGTCCACACAAAGATCTATCCAAGGTACAGATCGAAAAAGAAGATCGACTTTGCACGAGATGACTTTAGTCGCTGGTAAGATATGAGCATCAATACTACTGCCCTGAACATAGTTGACACTCTCCCAGGCNTGAAACCACACGAGGGGCCAACCACCGATGTGATTCTACTGGGTCATAGTATGGGCGGTTTGCTCTGCGCTGAGGTAGCTTTATTCCCATCCCTTGCAGATGGATCTTTGCGCCACCGTCTAATCGGCACTGTCAACTTCGACGTGCCTTTCTTGGGTATGCATCCCAGAGTCGTCAAGGTTGGCTTAGCCAGCATCTTCAGCCCAGCCCCTCCCAAGTCGCCACAGGACAGTAGCAATACGCCATCTGTTTCAAACATGCAAACTACAGGAGACTATTTCGACGACAAACCATCTGCGAGCACATCCACACCCAGCATAAAGAGCCCAGAAAGCTCGTTCTCGCCTTCTCAACTCGACCCTAACTACAATCCAGCGTTTAAGAATGATGTGATTCTTCCTGTGAGAAAAGGATGGGAAGGAGCTTGGTACTTTCTCAACAAGCACTCTGGTGATCTAAGAACAGCTACCAAGCAACTGGTCAAATCTCATCTAGAGTTTGGAGGTGCTATGGCAGACTATAGCGGCCTCAAACTCCGATACACACGTATCAGAGGTCTAGAGGAGCAAACTGAGAGAATCAGGAAAGCGGTGATAGGAAGCTCTGTCGCGCCGCCAAGAGTGCGCTTTGTCAACTACTACACTTCGAGCACGGGTCGGCCGAAGAAACCGAAAACGCCAACACCACCTGAGATATCCGTCGAGACTCCTACTTTGACCAAAAGTGGTACTGAAGTGGATCAAAAGACGACCGACGAGGACCTTGAAAAATATTCCGGCGAGTTTAGCCCAAGAGATGATCAACTGTTGGAGACAGATGACGATATTAAAGACTTTGAAGCAGCAGAAAGTATTGGTTCAGTATCAATGGATCATCTAGAGCCTGCTCCAATGTCCGACATCGGTGGTGATTCTTCGGACATCGAATCCTGGGTCGACGCAACAGAGAACATGGAGATTGCCCCATCTAGCTTGCATTTAACAGAGGATGCGACGCATGACACTTCCAAAACCGAAAAAGACCCGGATGTCGACACAGCCTCGTCAGAGAAATCTCCCGAGGTCGTTACTAGTAGTCTTCAAGCTTTACCGCCTGTGCCCGATCCACCTGCAAAGCCAGAGAAGCCGCCATTCTTCGCAGACAAGGAAACTCGAAAGTTGGCCGAGAAAGAGTACGACAGGGTTTTGAAGCTATACTTCCGAGCAGTCAAGGACCGTGAAAAGGCACTTCGAGATCGTGAGAAGCTGGAGAAGAAACGTGAGCGCCAAGCTATCAAGGAAGGAAAGAAGGCAGAGAAAGAAGTCACTAAGGGTGATAAAAGCAAGGAAAAAGACCGTAAGAAGACGATCGAGAGAAGAGAGACGGACCAGGAGAATGCCCTGGCGGCTGAGCAAAGAGAGGCACAAAAAGAGTGGAAAGCTGCCTTGGATCACTCCTGGAACGATGCCGACTCTACAATCGAGCCGCTTTCGAAACGCAACTCATCCATGCAGTCCACTGTCCTGTCTACCCAAGGCACAAGAACTCCTTCGGGTGAAGGACACAAGCCTTTCAAAGACCGCACGTTCTGCACTCTTCCACCCAAGGACGGCTCCGGTAACAGAGATCCTACTTGGGTTCGTGTACTGATGAAAGACGTCGACCTGGTCGAGGCGCATTGTGGTCTCTTCTTTCCAGATCCAAATGATGACAGGTATGAGAAGCTGATCGGTGACGTGGGTGAAAGAGTGTGTCAATGGGTCGGCGAGGCAGAGAGTGAGAGAGTTGCACGGGAGTTCGAAGCACAAGGCTAAGTAATTTCCCAACCTATCAACTTTATGGTTAGCCTCTTCAAGAGATCACGATGATCGCTGAATGTAGCTCTTTACGTCTGCATTGTTGACCAGCGTGACTTTCGCGATAGACTGTGAGCAACTTCTGGAGTGAGAACAGCTGGATGCGTATTGAGTTAGCAAGGTCGTGCCTTCCCAATCTGCGAAGTCACATGCTCCTCGACTGTTCGCAACCGACGCGCTGAGAACTTTGTGGCCTACTCTTACAGCACACTTTGTTCAAATCAGTGAACTCGGTCGATATGGTAGGGCAAAATCCTTCTATACAGTCATTCTTCCCTCAACGCACCTCTCCACTCAAAAGGTTGCCCCAAAATCCTTCACCACCGCCGGGCGATGGATTTACCACAGAAGAGCTTGAGACCACAATGGTCCAAGCACCGCAAGATCACTGGATCCCACCCACTGACTATGACGAGTATGAGATTGATTCGCTTGTGCCAGGACCAAATCGAGTCAAGGTTGTTGGCCGGATTGTCAACCTGTTCGAAAGCTCGCCCAGAGCAAAGCTGCCAAATGCAGCTAAAGGAGCCGTCCACCTTGTGATCAAGGACACTACAGGTGCTGTTACTGTAAGCGTTTCATCGTTGCACACATATGAGTTTATACTGACTTGATTGAAGATCAGATTTTCTTACACTCACATACCGTACGGACTACAGATTGGTCAACTTGTCGGCGTCTGGACCACCTATGTCGCGAACGGAGATCGAGGCATCTTTCCCTGTGCAGTCGCACCCATGTACATCAGAATCTTTCCAGAGATGGATAGGAACTGCCATATTCGTCTACTGGACGGTCCAGAATTCACCCAAGTTTGCAGAAAGCCACTGAACTACGAATCAACTCTCATGTCCCTGAAGGACTTCATTCAGGGCGGATTCGAGGTGACGGATGCCAAAATCCTGGTCATTGTCAAGAGCGTTGGTACCCGCAAGAGAGGTGATGAGGTCGTCAGACATCAAGCCCGCACAAGCTAACACATCATAGTCGCCAAGAAGGATGGAGCTACAGCCGACCTCGTGAAAGTCGGCGTGATGGACGACACGAGCGAAGCAGTACTGTCATTATGGGGTGTCACTTCAACAAGCACAATGGATTGGCAGCCATCACAAACTGCACTGTTGATCTCGAGTCCAGGCCTGAACGTCTCGCATCAGACTTGGTTAGCCTTGACATCCAACACTTTCATTGATGTGGACCCCAATATCCTGGAAGCAGAAAGGCTTAGGGCGTTTGCCGGAAACATGATCAAAAGACAGCATATCAATCCAGCTTTTCCTGAAGAAGGTATGTCCTTCTCTATGTCTTCGTCCGGCTGTTTCTCATGAGACCTAGAGTACAACTCGTGGAGTATGAACAAACCAGACGAGCATATTCTGTATTCTCTTACGGATGTGGACAATCAGTAAGTCTAGGATCAATCATCTTAACCCAATGCTGACTTGGTTTTCCAAGCGNCTCGCGAAGTACTCGAGGACGAGTTTGATGGCTATTTGAGTATGATAATCATGGATCTCAACATGTCTACTCTGCGACAACAGAACATGCTCATGTGCAATGAATGGTATGTTCCATATAGTCAGTTGCATGGGTACTCGATTGCTAACGGATGGGTANGTTGTGGCATTCCACTGTATGCGAATTTGACAGTGGCCAAATGTAAGCATTGTGATGAGCGAGTGACATTGAGAGTCAACCCAAAACTAGTCAGTATACCTCGCACAGCTTCATATCAGTACTGACATTTGCAGATTGGCAAGCTAGTCGACGAGAGTGGATGCATCTTGAGTGGCAAGCTTGTGCTGTCTGACCACGCGTGGACACGTCTTCTGGGGAGAAGTGCCGAGGAGATGGTCCAAAGCAGTGCAAATACGCTGAAGAGCGTAGAGCAGCGAATGCTATACGTACGTATCACGTTGCGGTTCTGGTGGAGTGCACGCGTTGGCAAGCTCGTCATCTCGGACATACTCGAGTGACTTACGTAGGGCTTCACAGAGGCGAAGAACGAGAAGGACTGGTGGCTATATGATATGAGCTTGCTTATCTTGACTTAAGAAGATGTGGATCAGATACTGATTTGCTTGGAAGAATGTATCAAACAGACGATTATTGCTAGATGCTTGGAGTCAGCGCCCGACGAGATGGCAAGAGATGTTACGCAATCGCTAGATGAATATTATAGGTTGACCCACAACTCGCAATATCATGATCAATCCCTCCTTCACGTTAGCAATAGTCTAGTATTGCACAATTGCTATCTGTATGAGACAAATGACCACAGAGATGGCCACGAGACATATTCCTTTGTGTGGGACCACTTTGAATGATGTGTAGTCAAGTCCGAGGTTCCGTACTCAAGATAGTCTTGATCTAGCTCATGCGTCCACAGCTGGTGCTATAGTACGCTTTAGACTTGCACAAAGTATTTATGAATAGCCTACTCCCAGCGAAAGCCTTGGAATCATTGATCTCAATAGAAATTAGGAGTCGAACCCATGACTTCTATATAGTCTTTGTATAGGGAATTAGGTAAAAAAACAAAGTAATGCGATTAGAATGCATGAGGAGTAGTGAGATATATGCCAAAGTCAAAACCGTGTGGGGGATGACCCTGCTCAACTCCGATAAGATAAGGAAGTTTGAGACCAGCTGCCTCTTGAATGCGACAAAGGTCGAGTTAGATCACAGACACAAGCCATGACACAAGATAGCAGTAGCAGTCGTCGCGACTGGCGGGACATGTTTGCAGTGCCACCGGTCATCCGACAAGTGTTTGCAAAGTTCCCTCTATCGACATACACAGCCAATGCGCTACCGACGCGCTCGCCAACACACAGAGACCAACACACTCTCTACACGTGGACGACAGAAACAGAAGTCAGCACAGACAAAGCCTCATTCAACCCTACGTGTCTGAAATGGCAGACATACCTTCTATTCCAAGGCATCTCGTTCCGCAGCCAACCCTCCAACAACCACGCCTCCCCTTCGGGCTCCCTCCCCTTCCTCCTACCCGCAACCTCGCCCACACCAATCGCATCCAGCAAACTCGAGCACTGGGCCAACACACACAGCACAACCAAAAGTCCCTCTTCCGATACACAATCTTCGCGCCAAGATGTGTATACATCACTACTCGAACACGCAGTGAGAAGAGCATGGCTCTACCTCCTCTACCTCGACCCCGACAACTTCGACCACGTCGCCAAAAGACTATACGTCACTCCCTCATCTACAAACACCTTTGTCGCTCTCGCAATCTCATACCAATTGCGCGACGCCGCTACCCAAGAGCTGTTGAAAACCACACCTGTGGTAAAAGCACAGGATATCTTGGATGAAGCTGTTGATGCATTGTCCGCTCTGTCGACTTTGCTGGGTGGAGACACCTGGTTCTTTGGACAAGCGACACCTACGCTGTTCGATGCGAGTGTGTTTGCATATACCCATCTGTTGCTGGATGAGGACATGGGCTGGAGAAATAATCCTTTGGCTGAGCGACTGCTGGCTACTTTTCAGAATCTGGTCAATCATCGCAATCACATTCTGAGCGAGTACTATTCGTCGTGAGATGGAGACTCTCTTCTCTCGCCGTGTCGAAATTCCCTCCCTCCTTTGACTGTACATACATTCATCGTTTATACCAGCCCTCAACTCTGTATACCCCAACTCAGATATTTGCATCAATACACAACTAGACGGCACAGAGTGTCCGGCAGATATCCTTCACCAAGCAGCCAATTTGATCACCACTCAGATCGAGTTCAAGAAGAGTGAAGTAAAAGAGGCGTCCTCCAAGCGAGGCTTCTCATATTCTCTAACCCGGATATCATCTACTCTATCAGACCGCATACCCCAAACCATCATTACAAAACATCAATATATCATAACTTCATCACCAGCACATACTCAGTACTGCACAACCTTGGCATCAATCTTCTTTCCATCATCCACCATTTCACCCATGGCCTCTTCATCATATTGTCCATCGTATTCCAAGCTGTTCGGCTCACCGTCATCGTCGACCTCAAGCCACGTCTCGCTAGTCGCAGGGATGGGCGACACCTTGCACAAGCACCAGTATGTGATCGCTGCGATGAAGAAGCCGCAGAAGTAGTTGAGGTCGTAGATGTACGTCGCACCTTTAGGAACCTTTTGGCCCACCGCACCAGCAAAGCCAACGACATTGATGAGGATGCCTGCAATGTATGAGGCATATGCTCTCCAATGCACGCCGTATGTGAAGTAGTAGGGTCCAGTCTTGTCGGCCGAATACAGGTTTCTGACCTGCAAGTATCCTTTGCGGACGAGATAATAATCGCAGACCATGACGCCGGCAATCGATGACAGGAACACGCTGTAGGCAGAGAGGTAGGTGGTGAAGTTGTTGCTCGAGCTCATCAGGTTCCAGGGACACATGCACAGGCCGACAATAGCACAGATGTATGAGCCTCTTCTGATGGACAGGAAGCGAGGGAACAGAGCAGTCATGTCTGTGCCTGCAGAGACCGAGTTGGCGGCAATGTTTGTACCGAGTTGAGCGAGGGAGAAGGCGGCGGCGATGACAAAGACACCGAATCGTGTAGCACCACTGACGTTGGCGTCGTTGAGGAAGTTTTCGAGCAGGGTCAAAGGTGACCAAACAGGCGAGCCATAGATGACGGCAGAGGACGAGGAAACGATGATACCGATGAAGGAGGTTACGGCGAAACCGACTGGAATAGTGATGAGTTGGGACAGCATGGCGCTGTCGGTACGCTTTGCGAATCTGCTGAAGTCGGGGTTGTTCATGATCAAGGCTNNGTACAGTCATGGTCAGTCGTCTGTTCTTTCAAGATTCATACATGTTGTGGGCTTACCGGCAAAGTTTGCAATGGCGCTCATGATACCCTTGACAATGGCCCATCCGAGCTCACCACCTTCAAGCTTGGCAGGTTGACGAACAATGGGTCCAAGACCATGTGCTCTGACGATAGCCCAGATGAAAAAGGCGATACCGGCAGCAGGTGCAACGATCGACTTTACGGTGAAGAGATGACGGATCTTGTGAACAGGGAACCACAATGCAGGTAAGGAGCATGCCCAGAAGAGGAAGAAGCTGACAAAGTCGCGANNGGTGTTGGTGCCCGAAGACTCGGGCAGTGTGTTCTTGGGTCCACCCAGTTGGTATTTGTCCCAACTAGGCCAGATACTGCGGATCATGAGGTAGACGCAGGTGCCTCCGATCCAACTTTGTACGCCATACCACACACAGGCCATGGCCGCGCGATTGAAGACTGGCCAGAGACCTCCCCAGATACCAAAGCTGGATCGAGAAACGACTGGGAAAGAGATGTGGTATTTTGCTCCGATACGGCCAGTGAGGACGACAAAGACGGCGGCGATGGAGTAACCGATCCAGACACAGATCCATGACTGCCACCAGGAGAGGCCGTCTTGGACGCTGGCGCTGGAGATCATCCATGTGTTGATGTTGAAGGAGTCGGCCATCCAGAAGGCGACGAAGTGCCATGCACCCCATTGTCTACGTGCAGGTTCCACGGGCTTCAGGTCTTCGTTGCTGAGCATGAGTTGGCTATCGGTAAGACCAGGTTCGTGGCGGACCTCAAGTGCCTTCAAGGCACGAGAGACTTTCGAATCCTTCTCCATTGTGAAAGGCAGGGACGAAGGATATAGATGCAACGAGTAAAGGATATAGGCGTCGTCTAAGATATATACAAGACGCCTTCTGTCGTTGACCTAAAGTGTAGTGGTCGTGATGGATTACTGAATGTCAATGATATCCATTCTGAAAATAGTGCGGATCAAAGGTTTCTTATGTATGTCAATCATCCTGAATGACCCGAGACTGAAGCTGGCTTATCTCTGAGACTATAGCCATGATGTACCGTTGATGTTGGCGATATCTCCTTTGCGAGAAGCAAAAACGTGTGGTTGCTCGATCACATCGAGTAAGAATGCTGGATAAGCGCGACTGTTGTGCATAACGTGTACAACATTGGCACAATTGCTCGATACTATCGAGTAACAAGCCTGGATAGAGGCCCCGGTCTCGGTTCGGTGAACGGATTTGATTGGTCGGGTCGACTGCTCATACCGTATCTGGAAAGGCGCCGCGCTGTCTGCGCACGAATCGGCATCGAGCGCGCTACGAACGGAACCACTTGCTACTGCTAGCAGTGCACCTCGTGAGCTTCGCTATGCTTGAAAACCAGCCGAGGAAGTGTCGAGGCAGATCCTTTGCAGCTTCCGTGAGAGGCCTATCTAGAACCTGGCTGGAATTGGTGCCACAGCTGCAAGAGAAGAAAATTCTTCGTAGCGCCTGCATGAGATGGCCAGATTATAGAACGGCTTGCTTGAGCCGACGGTGAGATCCGAACATCAACACATCTCCATGGGGAATTGCCGATTCTACACTTTTTCAATCACGAGCCTCGGCCAATGTTTGAGGGATATCTGCCAGATGTGCGATTTCGCCCTTGTGACTGTGATTTTGCAAGAGCTGCAGCCTCAGGTGCCTCTTTCTTTCTGCCAAATCATGGGTAGCCGCAGCATGGCAGAACCGGCAAAACACGAGCGATACCGGGCGGGGAAGTCGACCCGAGGCCGTGCTTGCTGCTTCTGTCCGGCTTCCTACGCCGAACAGCATTTCACGTCTACTACGCGTGTCATATATCGCCGGTCGCTATGGAGTCTCTCCGTTCTTCTATTGAGGGTTCGCAGCCCCCAAGCAAGCGTCAGAAAAGGAAGACTATCGCGTGCGCACCGTCCCGGACCGTTCAGACTTGAAACAAGACTGACCACGATGCCACAGATNGTCGACGTTGCCATGATCAAAAGACCAAGTGTGATGGCGAGAAGCCTTGCAAGAATTGTTTGCAATCAGACAAGACTTGCGAGTATCCAATGCGAGATAGAAAGGTCACTGTGAATGAAAGGTAAGTCGGCTATGAGGGGATAGCGAAGAACACAACTCTTATTCAATCCAGTTATATACAACAATTGCTTGCCGAGAACGAGCGCCTCAAGCAGAGTGTGAATGACGATACAAGCCATGAGGATACAACAGAGATCACCAATGGGGATGACGAGAGACGAGGAGATAATCCTCTTATTGAAAAAGAGGCATGGTTCATGCCGTATGATCCCAGTCCTATTTACATCGGTGAGGCTGCTTGCACAGGCTTCTCAACACGAGTTCGGCAGCTTCTGGTAAGTGTCGAGGCTGAAAATCATATCCCGAGAACTTCTTTCATCAAAGGTAGGTGTGGTTGCCGCTACCAGAAGGATATTCTCGCTGACGTATGATAAGATGCCCAGTTGGATGCTGCTTTGAACACAACCGCGCAATGGCCGAGCAGACCTCAAGCTTTCTTGTTGATCAACACTGCTCTTAATACAATCGGCAAGTGTTACCATTTATGTCCCGCTAGTGCAGTGCGGACTACGCTCGACCGCGCTTACCAAGACTTGCGATCTCTTGACCAGCTGGCAGTCTGCAAATTGTTCGTCCTCTTCGCGCTGGGAGAGGCATACTCTATCAGGTCACCATTAGACAACACGGGATTGCTACCTGGACTTCACTATTTCGCAAGAGCAAAAACCATTCTTCGAGTCATTCCGGAACGACCAAAAATCGACCACATTGAGATTCTCGTCATGTTTGCTTTGTACAACTCCGTCATGAACAGAAGACATAGCGCTTTTCGTTATATCGGATCTGCGATTAGACTGGGTCTGACGATAGGAATGTATCAGAATATGGCAGAACGACAATTGCCGGATAAAGCCGCCAGACAACGAAGAGTTCGTCTCTGGTGGACAATGTACGTTCTGGACAGAATGATGAGCTCCAAAGTCGGCTATCCGACACTCCTAAAGGACGAGGATGTCGAGGTAGACCTTCCCACCGACGAAGGCTTGACGGAAGCACAAAAAGATGACTTCATAGATGCCGACTACCTCACTGCTAGTATTAGTCTAGCTCGCATCGCTGGCGGTATTATTGGCAGTCTTTACAGCCGAAGAAAACTTCCTGACACTTTCTCGCAACGAGTGCAAGCCGTCTTCCGTAAACTCCGAGATTGGGTCGAGGCCCTACCACCGAGCATGCAACTACGACAGGAAGATGCATCGAGCCAGGTTGCACGACATATTGTCATGCTACATCTATCATTCAACCAGTGTGTTATACTAGCCACTCGGCCTATACTGCTCCATGTCTTCAGAATCTCGAACAAGATTGGAGGTGCTACAGAAGAAATTTCTCAAGCAACTCTAGCATTGGCATCGACATGCACTCACTCAGCATCCCACAGCTATCGCTTGCTGATGCGAAGTTGGGTCAATGGCTCTTTCTTCACCCTTGACTATCTGTCTGCTCAATATTTGTTTGCTTCAGCCACCGTCCTGGCAATATCGAGCCTTTCTCCCGACAGCCATGCAAAGTCGCATCAAAACGATCTGGAATCAGCCACTCATCTCTTACGTCAACTGAGCATGCTAGGTAATCTGGCAGCTTCCGAATTCTGCACACACCTAGATGCTGTGCTGAGATCTACTGTCACTTTCAAAGCCTCGAGAGGTGAATCTAGTGAAGCCTCGACCATGGTTCAGGCCAGTCCCGCTGCTAGTCGTCCTGATACTGTCACCACTGAGATGGCACTTTTCGGTCCTCTGGTGGGGGACTTTCTTACGCAAACGGACACTGAGCTTGGTGTACCTTTGCTTCTCGATGACAGTGCTCTGGATTGGAGTGCGTGGGCTGGCGTTCTGGCTGATCAGGAACCCACCCCTGGACATATTAACATTGGACTTTGATGTACATATCCAACGTCTTGACGGAAAAGTTGACTACCCTACTGCCGTTCGTCAGCTCGACTTTGTGTACGCTAGCTCGATGTCCGAGTATACTGTAGATGTCCATGATATGCATAATTTTGGGGCTTCTAACAATCTCGTACTCGACCTCTATCTCACGGCGCCACACACCAACACCGTAAGCTATGGCAATGCACAGTTGTCAATAGAGTCAGCAGTATGACTATAGAGAGCAGTCCCGGACAACACCTCTCCGTGGGCATTACTTGGTTCGCCGGAAGTGCTATGCATTTTCACAATTACATATGACACTGTTAAGGACACAGGGAATCCGAACAGAACACAAGCCAAATTACATATCTGACAATCCTGAGACACAAGTGATCACTGTGTCAAAGTGCTTTTGTTCGCAAAGCGGTTACTGTCTCGTGGGTGGTGTCATGGTTAGAGTCTATTAACGATCTGGATGAGTCGGCTGATCGATGTAGACAATCAGTTGAACAGCGGACTGTTATAGTCCATTGACTGCTCGAGATTCAGAGTATTGACTTTGGGGAAGAGTTTAGATACCTCCATGCGCAAAGAACAACGTGAACCAGAGCAGCAGCAATGCGAAAGGGCAAAAGCATAGACAATCTGTACATCAAGAAGAACCAAATGACGCTTATGGCTTTGAAGTGTGCCATGCTTAGATTACAAATCGATTGCGATAGAGGAAGAATCTGATGATGATGGTGATGATGATGATGATGTATGGTGTTGCATGTAGCAATGGGGGAGACTGATAAACTAACCTCCAGGTCACTTTCTTAACCCCGGGTTAAGGTCTACCACATTGTGGTTCTGTCTCTCAGACACATTTCTTAACCCTGAGTTAAGGGATATCACCTTGTAGATCACTTAAACCGGGCTAAGAACAGTTGTTCAGCTGATAGTCTAAATTGTAGGCGCTTTGTGTTGATGGGTGGGATGTTGGTTAGATGGTCGGTTTGATGGCTAATCAAGTGGAGGGTTAGAGAGAGAGCTTGAACTAATACAGTAGGGTTAGAAAATACACGAGCGTCAATCCTTGACAAACGGAGCGGACAACACGTCTACTTCTTGTTCGATTATCTGACTCGCGGCTGGGAAGCAACATATAGAAGATTTGAATGGATGCAATTCTCCGACCCTCGGGTCAGCGAATCTGCGTGGATGATATTCTCCGACCCAAGGGTCAGCGAATCTGTATGCATGATATTTGCCGACCCTAGGGTCGGAAAATAGGTATGGATGGAATTTGCCAACCCTATGGTTAGCAAATATCTGAACAGATGACGCTTTCTAACCGTATGGTCGGCAAATATCACTCGTCACTGATTATCCGAAATAATGTATCTGTAGTGGTTGGTTAAACAAGTAGGAACCAGTCCCAGAAGTGAGAGTGTATGAGCAGGAGACCTGTATCTAGCAAGGAAATCAAAAAGAGATACCTAAAGGAAAGAAGTATTTGGTGTGAGACTTACGTTTGCGAGCTGTGTGCACAAATCGTTTTCCTTCTTTGTATCCGTATACTGAACTGTTAGCAACTAAATTTGGTTGCCAGAGCATCTCCCTCAAGCACTAATCAGCCTCCCAATCACTCGTTGAACTCTCAGCAACTAAATTTGGTTGCCAGAGCATCTCCCTCAAGCACTAATCAGCCTCCCAATCACTCGTTGAACTCTCAGCAACTAAATTTAGTTGCCAGAGCATCTCCCTTAAGCACTAATCAGCCTCCCGATCACTCGTTGAACTCTCAGCAACTAAATTTAGTTGCCAGAGCATCTCCCTCAAGCACTAATCAGCCTCCCAATCACTCGTTGAACTCTCAGCAACTAAATTTAGTTGCCAGAGCATCTCCCTTAAGCACTAATCAGCCTCCCGATCACTCGTTGAACTCTCAGCAACTAAATTTAGTTGCCAGAGCATCTCCCTCAAGCACTAATCAGCCTCCCAATCACTCGTTGAACCTTCAGCAACTAAATTTAGTTGCCAGAGCATCTCCCTCAAGCACTAATCAGCCTCCCAATCACTCGTTGAACTCTCAGCAACTAAATTTAGTTGCCGAATCATCTTAATCAACCACCTACTAGGCCCTCAAGCAACTGAATTCAGTTGCTACAGCATCCCTCTGCATCGCCCAGCCTCTCAACCACCAACTGGAGTATTCGGCAACTAGGTAGATCTAGTTTTCAGAGCATCCTCTCAAGCACTATTCAGCTTCTCGACCATTCGCTAAACTCTCGGCAACTGAATTCAGTTGCTGAAGGATCCTACATAGTCGATATCAAGACTCTCAATCACTTCCTTACCCTCTTGTCAACCAAGTCTAGTTGACGGAGCAGCAACTTGACTAAAGACTAGCTCTGAAGTTCTCGCTGGCCATCTCATCAACTGGATCTGGTTCTTGGAACATCTCATTTACCACTTGCCAATCCCTCCATCAACTGGTTGATAGAGCCTGGTACCAATCAGGATCCGGTACACTGTATACCCTCATCTTCTGGCTTTTTGATCGAAAGGGTATCTTGATGGTAGCGTCCGCTCAGTTACCAACCTTCCACTTCACACGACCTCTCGGCCTTCATCCAGAGTCAGATGGTCACACTGCTTAATCGAGCCATCACATTGCTCCGCTATCGTCGAACTATCTCCAACTTCTCTTCGTTGGTTCACCTCAATATCTCTGCCTGCGCGACAGAGAAAAATTCTTCTCTCTTCTCAGTCAACATTCAACACTATCGGCAGTCCGCGAGTATGGATCCTGCGACCTCCTTTTCTTCCCTTCCACCCGAACTAGTCACCAAGATCTGCGCTGATCCTGACCTTTCGAAGGAAGATCTCATTGCTCTCCGCCTGACTAGCAAATCTCAAGGAATATATCTCTCTGCTTCCAAGGAGCTTGGTAAACGTTACTTCAAGAAAATCAATCTTGTTTACACACGCTACAGTTTGCAAGCTTTCGTGGAGATCTGCAAGAACCCTGCTTTTGGCCCTGCAGTCCGAGCAGTTGGATTCTCTTATGCTCGATTCCTGCCAGACTGGTCTGTGGAAGACAACAAGGCTCGGTTAGCTGAGTTGCGAAGCCGCCGTGGCTATCTGGATAACATCCGATTACTCGTCAACCGTCGCGACGAAGAAGAGGAGCTCAAAAACCTGGGTGATGCTGAAGATATCCTTGCTGCAGCTTTTACCTCACTTTCACACTGGCGTCGTCCTCTGAGTCTTACTGTGTCATCCTCGGAGTCTCATGCACTAGGCCTAGAGCGAATCTGGAGTCCCGAATACATAGGCGGAGATCCGCACTGGGCGTGTGATGTGATCGGGACGATCAGACTGCTTTGTCACGCGGCCACTCGGGGCACATGTGTTGTGCAAAGGCTCCGGGTATATGGTTTTGTCTGGAACTTGGTCGACAGCTCGTGCGGCTCACTGAGCAAAGCCCAACTCTCTGAGCTCAGTTTGAGCATCCGGGTTGCGGGATTTCCGAGCATCGCACAGGTTGCAGGGCTCGACGACATGGTGACCAAGCTGCTCAAGAATGCAGTCCACCTGAAAACCTTGCGTCTCGAGAATCTTGATTTGGACGACCACTACTATCTTCACAGAGTCTTCTCAATCATGTCGACTATGAGGCTTGAAAAACTTGCACTTCGGTCAATCGATCTTGATCGTTACAGCCCTTTCAAGAATGATCGAATTGAGTCTTTGCGTCAACTGGAAGTGTTTGATTGCCAGACGGACCAAGGATTGACAAGCGTCTTGGTTGATATCGGAACATACTTTCCTCAACTTGAGTATCCCTGTCTTTGCNGGCTTTGGGGAAGTCGCATAGACCCAAGAACCAAAATCGAATTCAAGAGTCTTCGAGGAGTCAAGGATGGTATAAGAGAGGTGATATGGTTAGGGCAGGATTATTACAACAATACTGGAAATGACCATATCTTGAGATAGCGGCGAAGGCTAAAGAGCGGAACAAGGGACGAAAATGAATGTTGTTTGCAAGCTTGTGGCCGAAAGACGACAAAGATCACTAGCAAGGAGGGCCCCTCCATGGTTTCACGACTCCGGCTGGTCAGTATGGGACAGACGGGAAGGGCATATATATTAGCAGATAATGCCCACGTATCGTGCAAAGCAAATAATAAGACCATAATGGAAATGCGTTTGTCATGCCAATTTTCAGCATGAACCACGGTTGATTCATCTAAACTCAGATGATCAGACTGCTCTCATAAATAAAAAATGCATTTTTGCCATTTGCATTGAGATGGCGAAGTCGCAGCCGAGCTTCATATTCTTGGACCCGGTCTCTCTTGAAAGGATCACACAACGGGCATCAAGAACATGAATATTGTAGTAAAACTGGGCATTGACCACAGAAAGAAAGTCTACGCATCAAAATGTCATGGCTAGCGTACTTCTGACACTTTAGATTGTGGTTTGTCGTAACCGAACTGTGCTCATGTGTTCAGTTGTTTGGGTCCAATTAGTTGATATAGCTGATAATGCGATGCATGCGCTGTCCACATATGCTTTCGAGAAGACTTACAGCATCAGCTGATGCCCGGGCTAAAGCCCGGGCATTTTCACCAACGCACTCTCTTGACTGCTCCTGTGCAAAAAGACGACCACCACGGGACTCGGATCCGCAACGTTGGTGATTGCTGCTCATGTTATTTGTATTGGGATATATACGATCTAGCAGAGAAATTTTCCAATGTTGGCTGCTTGGCGCAATGGTGTAAGTTTTCAAGCCCCATTTGAGCCTCCGTAGCGCAATCGCTAATTCCTCGTAGAGCGCGCGGCCCTCCTAGAAATAGTGTAAGGCTGAGGTTGCGGGTTCGAGTCCCGTGGTGGTCGTCTTTTTGCACAGGAGTAGTCAAGAGAGTGCGTTGGTGAAAATGCCCAGAAGATCGGGATGCAATTTTTGCAAATGTTGGATGCTACGGTGGTGTCGTTACGGTGATGTCTACCGACACCACCGTAACGACACTGCGTAATGCTTAAAGTGGTTCAGTAATCGAAGACTTAACGAGTGGCGCGGATAGAGATGGCTATAATAATATGAGATATCTCCAAGGCGCTGGCTTAAGACCTGTCAGGGCATAGAATCTAGGGCTCTCTATGGATACAGCTCTAATTCCAGACACCCTCATGCATTTTCATAGACCACAATATCACTCTATGCGTTGTGTGAGATTGGCTTCGAAAGTGACCAAGGCTCGAGCCTCATCATCATCGTCAAAACCCTAACCAGATATAGTCTAGTGGCTTCCTAATTTAGCGTCGAGCAACTTCCAGAAGGACAGCTGGTTGTTGACCCTGAGCATTTTTCTGAAACCCGAATTATTACAACGACGACCCGTCATACAATTCAGAAATTTGCTCCTCTCCTTCCTTCACGACTTCAAGAGATTGGACGACTCTCTGGCAAACCCACTGGATTTTGGTCCCGATTTCAGCTTTTACCGAAACCACAGAACCAGAATGGCGAGCAACGGCGGAGTCAAGCAGAGGAGTGAAAATGGAGTATTGGACGAGAAGGCCCTACTGCAAAGGCAGGTCGATGGTCTTGCAACGGATCAATCATCATCAGGGAGTGCGCAGACTACGAGAAATCTCATAATTTGCGTGGGAGGAATCTACGCATCGTTGTATGTTTCATCTAATTTGCGGAGATATACACATAGCCGTGCTAACAACAGACCAGTCNTCACATGGGGAGTTCTCCAAGAACGCATCACAACAACTCAATACGGCAGCTCGTTGGCCCCGGAGAAGTTCAATTCTCCTGTCTTCATTAATACCGTCCAATCGACATTTGCAGCACTGCTAGGATACCTCTACGTGCTATTCACACGCAAGCAGTCGAATGATCTTCCCATATTCCCTAGCCGCAGCATCGTCTTCCCTATGTTCCTGGTGGCCATCACATCTTCTCTGGCTTCTCCATTCGGTTATGCATCACTCAAGCACGTCGACTACATCACTTTCATCCTGGCCAAATCGTGCAAGCTTCTCCCGGTCATGGCTCTGCATGTCACTCTCTTCCGTCGCAAGTACCCTCTCTACAAGTACTGCGTTGTGGCACTTGTCACGGCTGGCGTAGCAGTTTTTACTCTACACCATCCTACTTCATCCAAGAAGAAGGGAGCAGACGGTAGCAGCGCCTGGGGACTGCTTCTTCTCGGCATCAACTTGCTCTTCGACGGCCTAACCAACTCAACTCAAGATCACATTTACAAGTCGTACAGACCGTACACTGGACAGCAAATGATGTGTGCGCTCAACTCCATCAGCACTCTTCTGACTTCGGTATATCTGTTGATCTCTCCCTACATCGCCACCACACCTGTTGGAGCATATCTCGGCATGAGTGCCGCTTCTGGGGGAGAACTTGAGTACGCTATTAACTTCATCAAAAGATACCCAAGTGTCGGTTGGGACATTTTTGCGTTCGCTGCCTGCGGTGCTTTGGGACAAATGTTCATCTGTAAGTTGTTTTGCTTTCTTTACACGCGAGACATTTCGGAGCTGATCAATATGCCAGTCTACACTCTTTCGACCTTTGGGTCGCTCCTCTTGGTTACCGTTACAGTGACCAGAAAGATGCTTACCATGATTTTGTCGGTTGTCTGGTTCGGTCATCGCCTCAGCCCAATGCAGTGGGTCGGTGTTGGCTTGGTGTTCGGAGGTGTCTTTGTCGAAGCACAACTCTCTAAGCAAGAGAAGCTTGCCAAAGACCGTGCAAAGAAGGAGGAGGTGAAGAAGTCCTCTTGATCGTTCTAAATCGCCATCTTATATTTTGCATCAGTAAAGACAAGTAAAGAGCTGGGTACATAAAGGGGTGCAGGCAACTCTTGAGTAGAACAATCAAAATACAGCGTAGAAGGCTTCGGGTGTATATGCTCCCGAGCAGTGCTCTATCCAACCATTCTTCGCCAGATCAGATCGAAAAGATGAAGTCGCTGCAAGAACCTGTTTCCATGGCGAAGTTACGGCTCTGATCGGAATCGCAAGTGCCCGTTGGAAAGCATGGCCTCTGGTTCATGTGGCTTTCCACGCGTATCGAGAAGTCCAAGGTCTACGTCCATGAGCAAGCTTACATATCTGTAGGAGAGACTCGAGGAGAGCACAATCTGCATATGCGCAGTCGGTATCTATGATTCTGGATCGTTGACAGGTGTCTTTTCATGCAAGGATCGCGATGGATGGCCTCACAAAAGCGTCAGTCCAAGTAGAAAGAGGCCCAAGCTTCACCTATAAACCCCACAAAATGACGGGTGATGTCATGGCTACCTCAAGCTCGTGTCCACCAAGGCGCGGCAAAGAAAGCTATAAACACTTGAGATCGCTCCTACTTTTGTTGTTCAATCCTCATTCAAAATCTTCTGTTATAAAACTACTCCTTCCAAACTCACACACAAATCACCGCCACAATGTTCCGCTCTACCATCATCCGCAACGCTCGCCTCTTCAGCACCAACGCGCGCTTCCAGAAGTCTGCCACCGAGACCATCAAGGAGGCTGCTCAGGCCGTCGACAGAACCATCTCCGATGCCGCCGTCAAGGGCATTGAGACTGGCGGTATGTCTTGACCCTCTCTTCTCACCCTGCCTATTCCTTACTAACACTTTTCCCCCCAGAGCAAGCCGCCGCATCCCTCAAGTCCGCCACCAACATGAGTGCCGGCGAAGCCAAGGGCACCGCCAACAAGATGGCTGGCCAAGCACAAGGCAAGGCCTCCGAGCTCGCCGGCCAAGCCAAGGGCAAGGCCAACGAAATGTCCGGCTCAGCACCCGGATCCGCAGCAGAGGCTTCCGGTCAAGTTCAGGGCAAGGCTTCCGAACTCGTGGGCGAGGCCAAGGGCAAGGCTTCCGAGCTGTCTGGCCAAGCAAAGGGCAAGGCCGAGGAGATCAAAGGAAAGATGTAAAGCTGTTTTCGCCTACAGCAACACCTTTTTTTCTTTTTATGATACGAGACGACACACTTTGCTCTTCTTAGTTAATAGCGGTTTGTGAAAAAGCTGCGATGGAACGGAAATCCAGGCGCAGCGGTCCTGGGGTTTCGTCTTCTTAATTACCCAAATTACATCATCTTGTCAAACTCTTCCACTTCTCTTGTCTTGTCCCTTCTAACTCATCTTCATATTGCGTAGATTACAAGCATTGAGAGTAACCGAATGACTCGTGAAAAAGCCAAGATGCAGAATGCGCTTTCAAATTCCAAGTACGCAAGATGCAACCCTGTCCGCGTCTTGCGAATCAAATCACTCTACGATAATTCCAGACAACCATACTGTGCTGTCTGCTTTTTCCCATTCTGATGATGATTGCACTATAATGTATCCATGAAAAATACGAACAGCTTTTGTGTCCACCCTAGATAAGTTGTCGGACACTAAATTGTCTACTCCAGAATCCATGCTTTATCAAGCGTTTCCATGGTCGACCAAGTCGGACATCAAAAATATCAACAGTACAGAGTAATAACTTCCATACTCGATGACTGAGATACTAGACATGCTCAGAAGATGTCTAATAGAGCCGTAACAACCCAGTGACCGACATGAGTCGAGACACATTGTGACAAGTTCGAGAACAGGGTGGCACTAGCAGCAATCACCCCTGGGAATAAGAGAAATGTAGCAAAATAGAATATAGAATGTAGTAACAGGAACGCTCAGGACCAATGCAGCATAGCTAAGTATATCGCTGAGCCTCAACCATGTCTCCCTTGTCGTGGAGCAAGAAGCAATGACCTATATATACGTTCAGACTTCGAAGAGCCTTCCCTTGGTCACCTAGTCAGACCCCTTCGACCCCAATTTCCTCGATTCATACTGATACTTTCAAGGTCCTTAGAGCAAATCACAAACCTCGCTCGCTGATCACATCGTTCTTGCAAACACCACACAGTGACATTTCGCAAATGCCGCAACGCCATGCCACATCTTCTTCGGCAGCGTGCTTGTGGTTGTTGACTCCAGCGCCCTGGCTTCCTGAAGAAGAATCAGAATCAGATCTCTGCACAGTCGCATAGGTTCTGAAGAAGCAGCGGAAGCACTCTGTACTAAGTGGTACACCCCTCTTGAATGTTTCCTCTGGGATTTGAGCAGGTCTGAAGACATGAGCGCATGCCCAGATCGACACATGATAACCATCTTCGGGTTCCTCGCCGAAGAAAGCGCCTGCGGCTTCCCAAACCCGACGACCACCAGCATCAAGGTTGATCGGAGGCTCAATGGTGGAGCCAGGACGGACTGCATCTGCTGAAGCGTTTGTGGATTGGTTTGCTGGAGTGACGACCCTTCCTGGAGCAGAAGCAATTCCTGGAGCCGGAACTGGAGCTGTAGCTGTAACTGTGGCATTCTGCCCGCCGTTGTGAGCTCCTTGAGGAAGGGTACTAGTCTGAGGAGTGTCAGGATCGGTTTCCTCGTCGCTGTAAACCTCATCTTCGCTGTCGGAATCGCCCGAATCACATGCACACTCATCGAATGTACGAAGGCACCCCCAGCACCAATGAGCGCCACAGCGGCACTGCATGTGGCGACAGCCGTACATCCTCTTCACGCCATGGCCACAACGAGGACATTTCTTGTAGCCATATGTCTCGAGCATTGCAAGCTCATGATCTTGGGCAGCGGTATCGCAAGGTTGTCCAAAATGGGCAACTTGTTTACAGCTGGGACAGATTCCAATGTGACAACCTGGGCAAGAAAAGCAAGCAGAAGCAGGCAGTTTGGCAAACTTGCTACTGACTCGGACTTTGACTTTACCAATCTCCTTCCACAAATGTCTTCTCAAAACATCGGCACTAGCGGAGGCTGGTTGGGGCATGGTGCGGCCATAGGAGGATAGTCGTTTGAGGTCAGAGTCAAGCTCAACCATGTTGGAGTAGCTTGGAAATTTTGCAGAAATGTCCTCAAGCCAGACCATTTTTCCAGGGCACTTCCAATTGATCCCATGAACTTCGGGAGATTTAGCATTCAGGAGATATCGAGCGCAGTCTTGTTGTTGGAGCTTTGTCATGATAGCGGGGAGCTCGGGTTTCAGAATAGCCCAAAAATCGGTCGAATCGGCAGAAGGAGGTGGTAGAACTGCGCGATCAGGGATGAAGCGGGAACATTGAGGAACGGGACAATAAGTCTTTTTGGTCGAGACCCATTCCTCAAACTTGAGACGATACTCGTCAGCTTCGGCGGTGGAAAGAAAGTCAAGAGCGACGATGGTCGACAAGATGGTGCAGCATCTGGGTGGCATCGAAGTCGAGTCGCGGGTGGCTTCCAAGAACATGCTTCTGATACAGTCTCCGCAGTATGCGGAAGTGCAGAGGCGACATGGCTGAAGTACCGGAGCTCTATTCGCTTCACAGCAGATGTCACATTCTCGATTGACGTCTTCGGCTTTGATTAAAGCAGGCTTGTCAAGTTTGGCAGGAGCTGGCAGGCTTGAACGGCGCGGCAAGAGAGCGATACTTGGGTTGACGGGGTTTGTCATGGATGATGGCGAAGGTGGGTGGACGTGTGGAGGTTGGGCTGGATCAGGTAGCACGTGTGTGGACGGGAGTGTAGCAGGACTGAAGCCGGGCGAGGGCACAGGCGGATCAGGTCGAGAGAAAGTGAAAGTCGACGATGGCGGCGGAGGGTGAGAGGATGTCTCAGGTTGAGCAAGATCTCGATATGCTGCTTCTTGGCGTGGTGGACGACGAGGTGGAGGACGATAGGGGCCTGACTCTGGAGACTCTCCAGCCACACGACGAGACCTGCGAACGGCGTGTTCCAGAGAACTCTCGTCGAGTCGATGCCCTTGTCCAGCTGCACGCCTTGTGCTCCTGGAAGACGACATGACAAAGGTGCCGATGGCAAAGGGCTGCTGTACCGGGATGTCTCGAAGACTGTGTCTTGAACCACCAGGGAGAACTGGAACAGTGCGAGTGATGGTGTCTTGGATACTGCCCTCGGTGTGCCCTGTGGTTTGAAGAGGGAGGTGCAGATGCGAGCGGACGCTGTGTTGGATGCGTCGAAAGAGGGAGCGAATGGTACGCAAAGTCAGAAGAGTGCGGCGATGGGGACGGTGCTGTCGGACCCCATGTGCTGGTTGAGAGATGTCCATGAAACTGCTTCTTGCGCATCAATCAGGCACCAACCGCCTCTGTGCTGAGCAGATTCCGATCAAGTGCAAGTTGAAGAAATGTCTGGAGGAAGGTAGCTGAAGCTTGAGTTATCAGAACATGTGAGGAAAGAGACCGAACGTCAAACTACTAACGTCAAGCACGCTCGACCAACACACGCCTGCCCTCAGTCTCGCGACTGCTCTTTCTTCAAACTTCGAGACCAAAACCAAAACGAGGCATTGAAAATTTCAGTGGCTAAAAGAAAATGCATGGGTATACTCATCTAAAGGATCTTCATCTTCATCTTCAAATCTGTCTTGATGTGCATAAACAAAGCTGACATCAAGATCTTGTTATGAAGCTACCATCCCATCACAGTCCACTCCTGAACGCCTTCATCAACAGTCATCTCTAGTTGCTTCCATCCTTCTTTGATGACTTCACCAACCAGGTCAAAAGATCAACCTTGGTCACAACTGCCACAGCCTTGTAGCCACCCTTCTCGGATGTCTTCTCGGTGACAATGGCAGCGCTATTCCACTCGAAGAAGCGGCTCAGTGCGCTCAACTTGGTGTCCTTTGTGATCTCGACAAATTGTCTGCGCTGGGGATGGCTCTCAGTCTCGCTGCTGGTGGCAGCCTTCTTGCGTTCCTCAGGAGTCTTGATGCTAATGTCTTGGGTGCTTGTAACAACCTCGTTGATCTTTCTGAAGTCGAACATGACATCGCTGACACAAGAGTGCCCAGTTGCACGGCCAGAGGAAAGATATGACAGAAGGTTTCCAAGTGTGACGAGACCGACAAGACGCGAGCCAGAACCGGCCGAAACTGGGAGCTGGTCGAAACCCTTCTCACGCATGGTCTCAATGGCATCTCCACATGGCGAGTCTGCTGAGATACTGGTGACAGGCTTCAAGCGCAGATCACGAATGGTGGCATCACCATAGCCATCCTTGCTCTTGCCATCTTCGCTCTTTGCGACTGGTGTTGTGGGGGCGGAAAGTGGGGGAGTGGGAGGGAGGAGGTCGTTTGCGGCCAACCAGTCGTCGTCAACAAACNNTGTAGAAGCGGTCAGTAATGCGGTAAGGATCGAGGTTTAGAAGAGACGAACCTTGCTCAAGTAGCTTCTAATGCTGTCGGGCAGGACAACGACAACAACGTCATCTTCAGTCAGGTTGAGCTCAGTGCAAGCCTTGACACAGGCAGCCATGGCACTGCCACTGCTTCCTCCAACCAAAAGACCCTCCTCTCTAATCAGCTTTCTCGAATACTCGAAACTCGTGCGGTCATCGGTCTTGAACCATGTGTCGACACCTTGTTGATCCAGGACGTCAGGGATGAAGTCGTAGCCAATACCCTCGACCTTGTAGGGCTTGTCCTTGAAGTCGTCGTTCAAAGTAGCGGGCAGAGCAAGGATACTGCCGTGAGGATCGGCAGCGATGATCTTGACGTTCTTGTTGTGCTTTCTGATTCCTCTTGCCAAACCAGTAATGGTGCCACCAGTACCAGCGCCAGCAACAAGAGCAGTAATCTTGCCGTCGGTTTGTGCCCAAATCTCCTCAGCTGTGCCGAGCTCGTGAGCCCTCGGGTTGTCGGGGTTGATGTACTGGTCAAGAATGACGGCACCGGGAATCTCCTTCTCCAGTCTTCTGGCGACACCAATGTGACTCTCGGGGCTGTCGTAGGCAGCCTGGGTAGGGGTTCTGATGATCTCGGCACCGAGAGCCTTGAGCACGGCGACCTTCTCTTGTGACATCTTCTCGGGCAGAGTGATGATGACCTTGTAGCCCTTGACGGCACCGACAAGGGCAAGACCAATACCAGTGTTTCCGGAAGTAGGCTCGATCAAGGTGGTCTTGGAAGGGTGGATGCGGCCAGAGGCCTCTGCGGCTTCGATCATGCGCAAAGCGATGCGGTCCTTGACACTGCCACCAGCATTGAAGAACTCAAGCTTGGCGTAGATGGTGGGCTTGAGACCGAGCGACTGGGGGATCTTGTTCAGGCGAACGAGAGGGGTGTTGCCGATCTGCTCGGTGATGGTCGACATGACGACGGGCGGGTGTCTGGGGTGCGACTTGATCGACATGGTGGGCGTTGATCAGTGTGAGTTTAGTGTTGAGTGAGAGAAAGGAAAGAGGAAATAGGTAACCAAGGTGGAGGAGAAATGCAGAGAAATACGTTTGTCTCGTTCGCGCGCCCTGTGAGCTTTGGACCCTGTAAACGAAGCCTCTTCTTAAGTTCTTATTAGTAACGCCGAGCCACGATGGATCCTACTCGCATAACACACCATTCGACCATCAGCATCTGCGAACACGATCGATTTTTTTCATCGTAGCAATTGCATGCATACATACCTACAGCTCACATTTGCTGCGCAATCCACGTCCACCAGGCATCCACTTGAGTCTTTTCCTCGCCCTTTGCGCTGGCGTTGCCTCCAAGCACGCTCACTTCAATCTCGGCCTCTTTCATCTGTCCAAAGTTAAAGTCGCCCTCACCGCCTTCACCCAGCCATTCCCTATCCTCATCGTCTCCTTCAATGTCGACGGCGCTGTCGAGCAGTCCCTTTGCCCTGGTTGATCGGATTTTTGTGATTTCGTCTTCCAAGCGCTTCTTGACCAGTTGAGCGGGTAGTGCAGTAAATAGATCCAGCTTGTTGGCTGCAACCAAAACTGGAATTCCGGCGGGGCCCTTGCTGCTCTTTGCTCCAGTGTGCCGCTTTTGCAGAATGAGTAGAATATCGTGAAGGTAGGTAGCAGCCTCGGAAAGGCCTTGAGGGCTGGACAGCGCGGCTGCGTCAACAACAAAGATCAGGCCCTTTAGAGAGGCAGCGGCAGTAACGGTATCGTAGGCGTGCTGACGCAGCTTGCCATGGCCAGGAGTGTCAGTCACTTCGATTTGACGCTCTTTCTTGCTTGAAGGGTCGTCGGAGGCGCGGTATTTGTGAGACTCGGCAATAATGCCAGTAGGGAGGGTGCATGTGACGGTCTGGGGAGCTTGCGAAGTGTGAGTAGCGGTCGGTGTGCCGCGCTCGAANCTGTGTACATGGTTAGCAAATTTACAGTGGAGTCGCAAGTGTTCGCGACGCACCAGAGTAAGTAGAGTTGTCTTGCCGGCACCACTAGGACCGAGCAGGATGAATGAGGGTACAACGACGGCGGCGCGCTGGCGGTACAGGAACAAGTGGAAGAGGATGGGCAGCAACAGCGACAGCAGCAATGTGAAGAGCATGGCTCCGATGGTCGGGCTGAAGCTCCATGTGAGCCATTCCCGAGCGGTGTCCATATCTACCGCCATCTTCGTCTGTGTCGAGCGGTATGGGCAGTTACTGAGTTGCAGAAGGAGCTAGAGTAGGCATTGGCTTGAAGCCCCAAACTTGGCCGATCGCGCTGCCGCCTTCCCACCTTGCGGCCCGAACACCACGCACCTGCCGAAACCTGGGGCATCTCCGTCCCTTGAGCCATCTTTCAACTTCCTTTCTGCCCCTCCAAATCGAGAGATTGGTTTCGTGACCTATTGTGATAAGGAAACACATCAATTCGTGCATCGTCAAAAGCCTGTGGCCGCTCAGTTTACTAGAGCTTCTTTTGAGGCTACAGCTATCATCATGCCTCATGCATGCCATCTTGGTGCTCTGTAACACATCCACTGCATCTTATGTCAATGGAGAAGCGTGAAACCCAGCTGCTGCTTGACAAGTGCACAATCCTGGATAAGACGTGCAAGTATTGTGTGAAATGCTTGTTGTCTTCATATCTTTGTCACCCAAACATGGTCTCATCATCATTCATTATTGACGTCACCCTGAGCAAACGACTATGCGGAGCGACCTCCTGATGGCAGACAACAGCTTTGGGGATCATTTATTCGAGTACTCGTACATATTTCTCAAAAATCAGCTCAGCTATTGATACAATAAACATTATCAACATATCAGTCATCTAAATCAGATCACTCATCAACACCATCAACATGTTTGGAAGCAGCAACACCTTTGATCCCAACACTGACATTCCTGATCTTTCAGGCAAAGGTATGAATCGTGGCAAGGAAAAACCAACCCTAGCTAAATATCACAAGNTCTACGTCGTGACTGGCGGATCAGCTGGTATCGGTTTCGGCATCTGTGCCCATATCCTCCAACACAACCCTGCCGCCCTTTATCTTCTTGGTAAGAAGGAGGAGCACATCCAGGAAGCAGAAGAGAAGCTCAAAGAGTACGGCGACATCTCAAAGGTTCACTCTATTCAGATCGAGCTCGAAGACCTGAAGCAGACGGATCAAGTGGCCAAAGAGCTCGCTTCCAAACTCGACAGGCTCGACGCTCTCATCTGTAACGCGGGCCTAGGAGTGGGAGTCTTCAGTTTGACCAAGGACGGCATCGACAGTCACATGCAAGTGAACCACATTTCACAATTCCATCTGGCTCAGACTTTGCTCCCTCTGCTCCAAAAGACTCCTGGTTCCCGCCTCGTCCTGCAATCCTCGGATCTCCATCGCGGAATCAGTGATGTCAAGTTCGAGTCTGAGGAGGAGCTCAATCAAGACATCGGTCCCATGATGCTTTACAACAGAACCAAGCTCGCCCAAGTTCTCTACATCCGTGCTCTGGCAGACCGTAAAGCCAAGGCTCAACTAGGCTTCAACGACAACGTGAGCTCTGGACCATTCATGAATGCCGTACATCCCGGTGGTGTTCAGACCGACCAGCAAAAGCAGGCTGTCGATGCTTATGGAACTCTCGGTAAGATCGGTGTTGCAGCAGTGAAACCTTTCTTGAAGGATCCCGTGGACGCTGGATGCCGCCCAGCACTTTTTGCAGCAACTAGCGAAGACATTGTCAAGGAGACTATTCAAGGACAATATGCAAGTAAAAAGGTTATGATTATTGTGAAAACTTGCTAATAGAATAATAGANTTGTGCCTGACCGTAAAGTCGCCGATCCTTCAAGCCAGGCTTGCGACCAGCAACTTGGTGAGAACCTGTGGCAGCTAACTGAGAAGATCATTGTTGGCAAACTGGGAAACGCTGTGCCATACAAACTCCAGTACGCTTAGTGGCGTTCTGTTAAGAAATTTTCTACAAATAATGATATCTAGGAGGCTTCTCACCTGTTGTGGTCCAGAGCCAAATAAGGTCCACCAGATAACACATCTTTTTGCTAGCATATGGGCATTGGGAACAAGCGATTGCTCGCTTTAATGACATGGTCGCTACATTTTTCCAAGCGCTCTTCCTCCATAGGTACTAGTGTGTGGTCAATATCAAGGGACATGATGCATCACCCGTGGAGGAGCATACACTACGTGCATCCTGTTTACGTGGCGCTGATTGCAGGGAGTATTACGCATACTACTAACCATATGTGAGAAGCAATTCATAAGCCAAGAGTCAACAGCACTGCCATGTCCCTACATGCGTTGCCACATCATCGTAATGCGTCAACTCGATCAAGTCTCTCGGAGCCTCAACTGATTGCGCGGCTGCCAACAGCGCCGCCTTGGTCTGTCCGGTCCGTTTCTTGCATTACGAGTAATATCAGCACCACGCCATCAGCTTGCGGGACCATGTCAAGTGCGGTATTGCCTCAACGAGGGAACATGCTTGCGTTGGAAGAGAGGGGTATGCCTAATCCTCATCCTTCCTTCCCAAGCAACATCGGCCCAAAGCCATGCATGTGCCAACATCTCTGACTACTGCGGCCAATATGTTATGGGATACGCGTCCTTTCGATGCAGTCATCAAGCGAAATCCCTCATGGCATTTGCAGCCNAAAAAGTTGGTATAGACTATCAGCACGTGCTTACGAAGTGAACAATGACAACAACAAAGAAGTGACGATCGTCGAAAGAGAAGGCGCGTCGGAGCAGCAGCCAGCTCACCGGCAAAGACCAAAGAGGGAGTTACNACTCAACCTCGTTCTTTCTTACCTTGACTCGACAATCCTCAACAAACTTGCGGCTCATTGCATGCTGGCTCCGGCTTTCCCGACGGGGACAGCGCTTTCCTCGACATGCTCTCTACCATTCCCCGACGCAGCTTGATCTTCTGACAGACATCGTCAACCGGCTAGACCTGAGAGAAGGAAGGGGGCAGGGAAAGGCTTGAAGATCGGCAGCTGAGCATATGGTCAGAGAAGCAATCAAGGGCCCGAGCACGTGGATGAGAGTCTGCGTCGGAAAGCATCGGGTCCATAGTTCTCTGCCTCTCTTCAGCTTGCCTCTATGCGCGTCTTCTGCATACAAAGACTATCGAATTGCGATGCCTGTTGTCGGTACTTTCCAACGACCGTGATGACAATGACGCGTAGTTGATTGACAAACCTTTCTTGTCCTGCCCCCGAAGAGTAATGGAGACTTTGATACTTGTAAGCCTGTTTGGCGTTGGGTTATGCCAGGCAAACGTGTGCGATGCAAACTGTTCAGGAACTGGATGAGAGAGGACAGTCTGTCTAGACAGTGCTGACGGGCCACCCCCACACACGTGAAAAAGTCACTGGACCACTGGAAAGACCATGTCTCGAACCTTGTGATGGGACTTGAAACCGCTCTGGTCATCAAAGCTTGCAAGCCACCGTACTGTCGGTGTGTGGTTGATCCTCTTGATTTCTTTGAACATGCACAGGCCAGCGGTTCGTTTCAGAAGGGACTGACGAGTCCGTGGAGACCGCTATAAGGCGATTAGTGCTATCAAAACAAGGCCAGAATTGCGTCTTCGGTGTTGTGCAGAGCTAGAGGGTGCTTCCCGTGTCGCTCAGCGTCAGTTTGTGACACGGAAGCCTCAAATCTCCGTCGTGCACCGTGTCATGGCTTCTGACCACACGCTTCGTTGGAAGTATGAGTATGGCATGAGCATGGAAGAAAGAAGGTCGATTGGGTATACTTTGTTCTTTTCCAACACCGAGGTATAGGCGCAGGGGACTTGGGTCCGTCAGATCACCTGGGTATTGCTTCACTCATCGGACAGCGCTGCAAACGATAATTGGCGTCTCGATAGATTCCTGTTCTTTTTGCCTGCAGGTTCGAGTTGGAATTAGAATCGCTCGTCACGAGCGATATAGCTGCACGAGCATAGCACGTTCTAGTCAGGCCATACTGCGCCAGATTCTCGCAGCACAATCAAGTTATGCCAATGTATTGTACGTTGATGTTTCCCTGGTTGAGATGCTGCAGCTCGCCGCTCCATAGACCCTAGATCCGTGAGTCGCCCCGTGCGGAATCCGGACCGGTACGGATTATGGCAGGTCCTTCCCAGCTATATGTTCAACAGCGGAAGCTCCCCAATAGAGCCGCCGGGGGTGCCTGAATCTATGGAGCCCCGCAGTAAGATGGATATAGCACGCACGTTCGCCTTTGAATTGTTCACGAGATCAGCGGCAAAGTGCTGCGGCTACGTTTGCCTGCAGTATCAAATTGGCCACGACTCCAGCACAGACACATGTACAGTACAGTACGATACGGTACGAGTACACTGGACCTTCTCTTTGGAACACTCCCAGCAGACTGGAACTTGGCGATATTATCCATCTGGGTAAGAGCAGGACTTGACGAGTCACCCTAGTCGTCCAGTAGGCAATGACAAATTGACGCGTCGAGGAAGCGGACCATCTGATCAATCCACATGGTAGATACCAAAAGCCGTTCTGGCCTCTACTCTTCAGAATGCAGTGTTCGGGAAATATGCGCTCGACACTCGATGCTGTCCAACATGCAGAGTCGATTGGGCACTATGCAATTTGGCGGAAGATTATCATCTTTTGACGCTGAAGCCACACTTGCACAAGAAGCCATATGATCGGCGCGCGCTGATTGTCAGCCAAAGTGTAGTTGTTGCATCACAAAGAACCACTCTGCTAAACTGAGCTGTAATGGCAGTCGTCGTGTGAATATTGAGTCACCAGATTGTCTCATTCATCGACGACGAGAATAGCCCACCGCCAGAGCTTGCCATCAGACCGGAAAGCGCTTCCTCGAAACAAAGAAATCTTCCCGACAGCAAGCGCTTGGCCGAAGTTCTCTTCGTAGCTACGGACGAAACCATGACTGAGGAAATGAGCCGAGTCGGGGCTTGGAGGATGCGGTTGGATGCATGATTGAGCTGCAAAAGGCGACAGCGCGGTGTAGCAGTGAGATAATGTCCCATATGATCCGTATGTCAGACTGATATGGGTTGGATGCTGGAGGCCGTCGCTGGACCAAAGATCTGTTGAGCTTCACGGCCTTGACAAATCTTGATTAGATACAGGCCCCAGAGCAGTGGTTTGTCCAGTCCTTCTGACTTGATGCCTGTTCTAAAG